CCCCCAAAAAAACCCATAAACCCTATACACTCGACACCACATCGCCAAACGCGCCGCTGTGTCGACTATGTAGCATTTCAACATTAACAGCAAAAAAAACGATAAATATAAATCCAGTTGTAAGCATCAAAGCACCAATAAGTGTTTTCCTATATCCAAACTTATCGGCAATGAAACCAGCTATAAACAACCCAATAATTTCACCAATATAGATACCCATACCCAAGGTCGTTTGCCATTTGGCAGGGACCTGGTACAGCTCATCTGCTTCATTGTATTCACCGAATTTTCTGGTAAAATCCGGAAATGCATATAATGAATTAATGAGATTGGTATCATATCCTTCCATAATTAAAGCCGTACTTAAAATAACTGACCACATAGCAGCCTTAGGATACGTCTTCAAACCTTCTCTTAAGGTCATTTTCTTCTCCTCTCTATCATTAGCTTTGGCATTCTCGGTCATATCCAAAAACTTATTCATATATTCTTCTGTTTCGAAGCCCATCAAATCGCCTTGCTTCTTGTTGAGCATATTAGCTTCGATTACCACTTCAGGCTTATTAGTATCCTCGACATGTTGTGAGCTCATTTTATTTCCTTTGTATTTGTTGTTGATGCTCGATAGAAAGAATTATATTAGTGTTGAACAATGTATCTTATTTATATAACTTCACTTCATTGAAATGATGAACTGTATAGAAATACTTGAGATAACCAAATCATGTTACCCCTCTTTCATCTTGTTAAGGAATTAAACTATACCCCACCACCCCATTACTGATGACTTGAGCGTGTGTATTATCGTTGAATTTTTCGCCAAATTTCAACAGACCGGTGAATAATAGGACAACTCGATGCGGGGTTGAAAAAGCAACGTAACTTACAAGCATTTGAGGCAGTACAAAGGTTCTACAACCTGAAAATACTGCTTTCTGTGAATATGATAAATTAAATATAAAAGCATCCAATGTTAGCAATATTTTACTGCACATACGACTATTTAAAAGCTTTTATCGCTAATAACTTGATTTAATGATGTCTTACATATACAGAATACTTTCTTCTACTGCATATGTAAAACGCCAGTCTATTTTAGATAGTACAAAATCTCATTACCGCCCGTTTAGTATATCCACTGTGCCCGAGTAGACAAAAAGTACACACTAACATTCAAATTTATTATTTTTTGATGTTTTGTCACCATTAAACCATGCTTCCTCTCTAATCTACTAATTGTGGTAATTCGTAGTCCATATTTTAACAAAGAATGGTGTTCTAGAGTATTCATTTCTATTTAAAGTTGCCTTTACATTAGAACTATTATCACACGATTCGATACTGAATTCTATTTTATATAACCAGAAAATATTTTCTTAATGAGGTGCCACATTTAATGTACAAGACTAATTTTATGCGTATGATCTAGCGTGCCAATATTGAAATCTTTATAAAAGCGATTGCCAATAGCGTCTAATTTGTCTCGTCTCGTCTGATATAGCACTGAGACATGATATCTTTCAACACTGCTCGGTTCTCTTTTTGGTGGATAAAAACTCCTTATATATCTTGACACCAAAAAGAGCAATAATATATAATAAATATAGAATCAGAAAAACAAAGATATGCCTTATTTGCTTGAGCAATATTCTTAAAGGTTATATTATTATTATTATTATCAAATCCTAAATAAGTTCTATTTACTAAAATACAGAACTATATATTAAAGTCACAACTAATGCTACGTGTAATTTTATAATATAAATACCACTTTTATTTTTAACTTCTTTATATAAAGAAGAATGTACTTATGGCTTATCTAGGTTTTCTCATCAATTTTCTGGATAAATATTTAATTCTTTAAAAATTAAATTAGCATCAGTAATATCTTTTTTAGGATTTATATTAATCCCTGCGTAGCTGGATTTTGAATTTCAGACTGCAAACCATGAAAGTATTTATGTCTTAATCTTATTGCTTAAAGAAACATATGTAAATATATTTATAATTGTGAATAATTTTATTTTTGCAATATTAGAATATTATCCTTATGAAATTAATAAAGAAATTAATAAGGAATTATTAATATTAGAAACATATTATATTTCATTAATTGTTCCTCAATATAATATACTATTAGTAATATACCGAAAGTTAAATAAGAAAGTAGAAAGGTACTAATTGTGGCACAATAATAAAAAAATAAAATGATGAAACCTAATAACAACTAAAGATTAAATAAATCTTAAAATATCTAACATATAAGTTATTCAATAGATAACTGTACTTGCTATAATTAGATTAATTTTACCTACTTTATCAGATGCTTCTGTTCTATGGTTTATAAGCAGCTATAGCTAAAGAAATATAGAAGAATAAAATAAGAACATGTTACATTTACTGATCTAAATAATAATCAGAAGTGTATTTCTCCTAATATACGATATATTTATATTATATTTATATATGCATATAGATGATACTTCGCTGCAGGATAACCTTTACATTTTTCTCTGTCAGCCCCAATATCCTGTGACATTTCTGAAAAAGCGAAATGATGCTGCATTACAAAACGAGACCACATGGTTTCGGTTATCAAAATCACCCTATATAAATTATTAGCATTGTAGCACATATAGACTATATATGAGGCTATTAGTACAATATTAACATTCTAAAAGACGGACATTAGACATATCTCAATTTCAGCCTAAAACTGTTACTTTAAAATTTCTAAAATTTCTGAAAAATCACACTCAGTTTATAATTTTTTCATATTTTATAGTACAAATTTCAAAACTATAAAAATCAACATTTCAATTTTGAAGAATCACTCTTTCATGTATATGTTTTTCACGGAATATAGTCTACATGATATAAATATAACACTGCAAGGTCTAGTACATGAATTAGAGGAACGGTTTCAGTCTGAAAACTTTTGTTCGTCGACTTTCGCTCTTTCGGCAATATTTGCTTTGGACACGACCTCGCACGTCATTTTAGTATGCACAAAATCACAATGCAGCACAAATATTTTTAGATACAGATGATTAATCGAAGGAGAAAGCAAAACCAAGGCTGCGATGTAAAGACTTCGTTTTTCAATTTTCCCAAGAGATTCCTCATGGGATTTGGAGTTTTCTTAGCTATGGAACTCGACTTCGGAGATAACGCAAACATGGAAAAAAAAAAATTCTTCGGATTTATCATAGACGCTCTAAAAGTTTCATTAATATTCGGATTTATGTCGGATATGCGAAAGAAACCCAACTCGAACTTATATTCCATATAGCATAATTTTCAATCAATACGAATAGGGTTATGGCGACAGATTCAAGTAATATAAGAAACTGAAACATTCAAGATATTCTACATTGGGTAATTCGCTAAATTCATGCACCTCGATGCTAGATTAGATACATAGATAGCTATGCGAGGTCATACTGGCAGCACACCAATTTTCTCGGCGAAAATGGGTAGTTATATGTACACTCGGCGGTAATTCAACGCACCTCGGCAGTTGCCAAATGTGCACACCACTAGCTTGGACACTAATGTTTATGCGATCTATGCACAGTTGACCACTAATTGCAACACATCTAACAGCGTCACGTTTGGAACAGTGGTTGAAATAAAGATTGCAGATATTTAGTTTGGTCTCCTTGACTTCGGCGATTTCTGTATTACCAATGGGCGTAATGAGTTTTCTCAAGTAATGCTCCTGCAAATAAAACGTAAAGTGGTACATGATCCCGTCCAATACTTCTCGTCGTTTTTCGGTGATTGAAATAAGTTGGGTAGAAGCCACATTGTAAACTCCTATGAAAAAGGGTTGATAATTCGGCCTCGGCGGTTATCACCTTGCTATATGCACACCCACATTTACTAGTTGTGTGCGACCTGGCGGGAGTGAATTAGCAATTGCAGCACTTAGAACACTGTGAAATTTGCAGATATGGCCGCAATATTAGGTATTTAGTAAGAAGACGTAATACATACTTAACTGCCAAAGTTCAATGCGAAAGCGAAACTTTATGATTTTTTTGCCCACATTGTAGTTTTTTACAACCCGCAATTCTTAGCGCCATAAGTTCAGAATGTAGTTTTTCAAAAAAACGCGCGCTGAAATGATATTCATTTAAATCTTCTCCAATATAAAAATTGCGGAGACATGCGATTTAGCGGATATGTGCAAAAATAAAATGACGTGTATGTAGTGTTCTGAAATGTGTCACGTATTGTGGGGAAAAGTAGGAACAAGAATAAATCTAAATATCTCTATAAGTAACCTGTATTATTCGTATAGTTTGGAAAATTTTAAATTAACGATTTCAGCTTGAAAAAATTAACCGTCGTGATTATCATGGGTCAATTTTCCCCCAAAACGATGAAACAATACTTTCTTTCTAGGATTCCTAGCCTATTGGTCCTTCCCGAATCAGATAAGAGTAAGCTAAACCCAATACATGCATTTATGGCCATGTCACCAAGAAACTGGAGTTTCTTCTGGTGCGCTTGGCTAGGTTGGACCTTCGATTCATTTGATTACTTTTCAGTTTCAGTGACAGCTTCACAGATTGCTGATACATTCGGCTGCTCCTTGAAAGAAATCACATGGGGAATGACACTAGTACTTATGGTCCGTTCTGTTGGGGCTGTTATATTTGGTGTTGCATCAGATAGATATGGAAGAAAATGGCCATTCATTATTAACTGTTTGCTTTTCATTATTCTAGAATTAGGAACTTCGTTTGTCAGTACATATAAACAATTTCTAGCTGTTCGTGCATTATTTGGCATTGCTCTTGGTGGAATGTTTGGTAACGCAGCAGCTACAGCAATGGAAGATGCTCCCCTTGTTTCCCGAGGAATTTTGTCAGGGTTATTTCAAGCAGGTTATGCGTTTGGATATCTTTTAGCTGTTATATTTAATCAAGCTTTCGAAAATACTCCGCATGGTTGGCGTGCGCTTTTCTGGTTTAGTTCAGCATTGCCTGTAATCCCTATTTCCTGGAGATTATTACTTCCAGAAACAGATACATTTATGGCTGAGAAAGAAACGAAAAACGAAAACTTGACCCAAGATTTCATAATACAAGCCAAGATAGCATTTAAAAAGGAATGGCTTGTTATTATGTTTTTGGTTTGTTATGTTGGTGGTTTCAATTATATATCTCATGGATCTCAAGATTTGTATCCTGCTATGCTTGAAAAGCAGCTTCATTTCAGTGAAGAGAGAACTACTGTCACAATGGTAGTCCTCACACTTGGTGATTGTTTGGCGGGTCTTATTGGTGGACACATTTGTGAGTTATTAGGCAGGAGGTTAACAGTAGTTATTTGTTGCGTATGTGGAGGTGCATTGATATATCCAACATTTTTTATTCGAAACAATGGGATCTATCCAGCTGTATTTCTTTATCAATTCTTTGTTCAGTGTGCATGGGGTATAATTCCAATTTACTTGAATGAAATGTCACCACCGGCGTTTAGAGCAGTTATAGCTGGAACAGCGTACCAATTGGGTAATCTTGCCGCAAGTGCTGCAACAACTATTGAAACTACAGTAGGAGAGAGATTTCCACTTAATGATGAAATTGAAGGCACGTATGATTATGGTAAGGTCATGGCAATTTTATGCGGCGCAGCATTTGCATATCTATTAATTATGTCAATTTTGGGGCCTGAAAGGTATCATAATGATTTCCATACTCCGGAATACTATGAATTTGATGCTACTACAGAAATTAAAGTTGAAAAAGTACAAGACGAGAAATTCTTTTCAAATTCATCCGTATAATTACGAGTATACCTTACTTTTTTGTAGGTTGCTCGGCGAGGATTCATGATGTCGCAAATATTTCACGTATCAGGCAGCCAGCTTATTATATTAGTAATATTATGAAGTAATTTATGGAACTTTCTGTGAGGATTTTTATAGGAATAAGAAGCAAATTCTTACTGATATTGTTATTGGTCTACGGAACTTTGAGATTATCGATGTGCAAAGTGTTTTACTTTCAATTGTCATCTTTTCAGCGTGCAGAAACGTATAATAAAGAAAAGTAGGTTCGCGTAAGACAGTCAAAAATGAGCACCATATAAGAGGATAGTCGAAGAGAATGAGTGTGAGAATATCCACAACAATTTTGTTGCAACCTGCCGAATGAGTATGAATTGAAATGATACATAAGCAACCCCTTAAATTATACCGAAAGATGCGAGGAAACGTACGGTGCGCGAAAAATTGGGCCACGAAAAATTGTAGAGCCAACGTATTCAGGTTGCATCCCTTCGTCATTTAGTCAAATTTATGAGAAGCTTGGATGTAAAAAATGAAATAGCATCAATATTTGGTGCTATTCTGATATATAGAAAGATACGCTGCAAAGCTCAGACTCGAAATTCCACGCTTTTCATATTTGTGCAAAATATATGAGAAGTAGTAATTTTTACTGAAACTCTAGAAATACTAAGAATTTTGGTCTCATTTGTTCATGCTGAACTATAGATGTGATGTAATATCAATCTTTTTTATATCAAATATATAATGTTGGACGTAAACAATGCTGTATGAAATACCTTTTATATATATTGTACCGCCACTATCGTCAAATGCATCAAACTGGTCAGAATAGAACAATTTCGCTCTGAAAAAAAAAATAGGGATCTGAGTTGTTAGTCGAAGATACAAGAAGACATATAATTGAGTACACAATTTCGATATGCATTCTAAGGGAGGGTTACCCTATTTATATATTCATAAATTGACCAAATAGATGACGGTATCACTCTATGTAACCTGCAATCCTACAGTGCGACTTTAGCCCATTTGCATTGAAGACCACAATTTGCAAGTTGTTGTATTGCCTAACAGAACAACTAAAGTGTCGGTGCTGATATTTTACGTTCGCAGGTTCGAAATTTATTCTATTACAAGGAAGGCCAGAATTTGGAATTGCTTCAGAATCTTTGGTCCAGATAAACGGTTCTAACAAATGGATAATTGCTTGTGGTCCGAGAAGTCTTGTAAATAGTGCCCAAGAGTGGGCGAGTGATAATAAGCTTAATTGTGCCTCAGAGATATACCGGTGATATAGAAAACGGTTCCATTTACCAAAGTTTCTATTAGCTCATGTCATACCACAAGTTCATATTGTTAGACAAACTATCTATACTCCAAAAATCAACATTCGAAAAGCATTAGCCCCTTGATAATTATCAAATCCAGAACCTGATATTGCAGAATTCCCGAAGAATATGGGTAAGAGATTACAGTAATTTTAGAGGAGGAAAACTGTTTCCCTCGTGTGTTAGTTTAAAGTTCCTTCGGTGTGACGAAGAATTGATCCATCTAACAACAATTTCGTAACGAAGTGTAAAAAATTACTCTTCCATATATTTTTTAAGTTTATAATTTAATAAATCCTTATTTTTATTATGATTAAAGTTTATGAGTCTACATAAAACATAGAAAGGTTGCTCACCTTTATTTGAGAATACTTTGCGATGAACTGGCTCTCCGGAATTGGCCGATGTAACATTCTCACTCACCACTGTGACAGATCTTAACATAATTTTCTGGTATTCTATTTGTTTAGAAAGATCCTTTGTAACCAACGAGATTTCCTAGCCCGTCTCTAGGCTAAAATTGGAGAATTATAACTAATTAGTGAAATAATTCTCTTAAGCTATTAGATAAGCTGAGCATCCCTATACAATACCTTTAGACATCAAATAGACATTTGCTTAAGTATACTGTTCTAAGGAGTAAAATATTCAATCCTGAAATGATTGTTGAGAATCAAGAGTTCACTCGTTGTTACTACAACGTAACAAGGAGGGGTGGGGGAGGTCAAATTCAAATTTGACGTAATTTGGAAAGTCAATTTTGGTTTTGCTCATTTAAAGTTTCGAATTTCCAATACGCAGAATCTGTAGGGAACGTTATTCCCTTTTCAAGCAACTTCGTGAATACCCTTGAGAAATCAGCAAAGAATAAGTCCTGGTTAGTGGCGTACTGCTTCACATACTTGACAAAATCACAATCTTTCTTCAAAGCCATGTCTGTGGGCAACATCATGAACTCATTGGACTCGTCATCCTGCCATTGCTTGGGACCATTCCATTCCCTCAAATGCCAATCCTCCATCAATTGAACATAGAAGTCATTAGTGAACTTGTTAAACATATCACTCCATGGGCCATCATATCCAGATCTCCATGTGTGGCAACGGCCCAAGCAATGGGCACCAATCAAGGCAACCGTCTCTTGGTCGTTAAATCCCATTCTGTCAAAAACATTTCTCACGTGTGAAGCGTCTTTGCTGGGATCTGGCAATAATCCATTCTTAGGCACCTGATTCTTATCACTCAGATCCACACGTCCAGGTCTCCAATTGATTCTTGGTCCACCTGACTCTTGTACCGCAACTACCCCACCCAAAGTCCATAAGTCACCTCTACTTACCCACGGATATTCATACTTGAACTCCACCAAAAAGTCTCTGCCAACCTCCAATCCAGAATTTTCACTGTCTGATGCTTCAGGTTCATAGATCATAGTACCAGCATATGATCCTCCTGTGTTTGTCTCTTCGTCGTACGTACCAGAAGCATGCCAGGCAAGACGAGTCAACAAGCCGTACCTACCGGATCCTTGGTCCACATGATCATCTCCTTTCAATTTCTTAGCAATACCATTGTACAATTGCTGGTAGTCTGTAAATGTTTTACCTGCTGGCACTGACGCTATCTTAGCGTCCATCGTACCTCCGAATACCGTCCCTATTATAGTTTTTCCGTTGGTGGTGTTGATTTCCTTATAATTCGTGTTGCCGTGAATACAATAGGCCTTTTCTCTCTCTGATCCCATAGTTTTGAATATAATGGGCTCGAAAAATTTATATAATTTTCCTAATCTTGCCAACATTCTCGATAGTTATTAAATATTAGCAACTTGGAGCTTTTTATAATGCTTAATTTTGTTCCTGAAACATAACTTCTTCATCGAATTTAATTGGTCAGATTTCCGATACAGGTCGAGGCTCGGTTTTATATGCAGTAGATAAGTAAAATAATTATGGTATCACAATGTAGCCAGATATGTAGCCATAGGGTCATTCTGTGAAATTTAGTAATTGCTTACACGAGTTATTCGCTCGGATTATTCCCCGTTTTTGTACATTTCATGCATCTCTTATATGCAGTATAGAATCTGGAATAAATCATTTATGTTACTATTTAATTTCGCAGCAATGCTGAGGATAATCGAATTTTTTTCATGAGAAGAGTCTTTATTGTGTATATTTACATAGTCACAAGCAGCTTTGGGACTACTCTGAATATTAGAATTAGACACCTATTTAAATCATCTATAGTAAACCGTTCAGTATATTCGACTTCATTTTTGATAACTTTGGCTTTGATAGTTTATTTTAACGCTATAATATGCAGTATACATATCATAATAATATTAGCTCGGATATATCGTATTGCGACATTTTAAATTAAATTTCGCGGCAATAGACATATGGGAATAATCAACAGACTACTTAGAGCATTATTGAATAGTTCTAGATTCTTCTTCTAGACTTATTTAATATCATTCGACTAGAAGGCTACTCTAAGTGGGGAAAACATTTGTTAAGCCCAATTCATTAATTTAGTAGTCTTTTGCATAAGGAAACAATGAAAAAAAAAGCATTAATGATAAAAAAGTAACAGAATATGTAATGCAAAGGTCATTCTGAGCTATATTGATTAAACTTCATTGTCCTTTCATATATTAAATTATGGTTCTCGAATATATATATGACTTTTGAGTTATTTAAACAATTAATTAAGTAGCCCGGTCATCTTACGGTTTTTTTAACATATTCAACAATAGCAATTCCAAATTAGCAATGCCCAGTAGTCATGGTTGCTTTGAATGCACTATAGATTTATATTTTTGTCATACCCAACAACCTCACAACAATTGTTTTATATGAAATGAAAGTAATAAATTAGGCTACTCGGCAATTCTAGGTCCAATTACTTAATGTATGCAATTCAATATTGTATCAATTATAATAAATTTCATAAAACTATGATGAAATTGAGAGGAGTACATTTACGAATCATACAATTCATTTGGAAAACGATTTTTGCATTGATGCATCCCGAATGACTTTGCTACTTTTAGAGCGACGCCTAGGCCATGGTATCTTATCTATAACTAACTACGCTTTTTGGGCCACTTTGAATTGACGTAGACTGTATTAGTGCAGCAGAAAAAAATCAATCTATCAGTATTCCATTAACAGATTCGTCAATCAGTTTCTTTTCCGAGAGATAAAATTTGAAACATCGCGGGTCAGACATATAACCGAGCTAATTTAATTAATATAAAATCCCGCTCTGAAATTGTTCTCTTCTGCTGCTGCATATGTGGTAACTGTTATTGGTAAGAAGCATCTGTTTAGAATTATCATGGGAAAACTTACAGTTAGGAATTTTTCGGAATCTTTCAAGATTAGCAGACTATTGGATGAAACAAGAGATCTGCATGTTTAGGGCCAGAACAGAAAACTCCACAATTAGGCCAACTAGAAGACGTATATAAGGATCAATAATCATTTACTTTGTACATTTACTAAATATTTAGTTATATAAACAATTATTGTTAAATTATTGTATGTGTAATCAATTTGATGGCGCTTATTCTATAACCATTTTCATGATATGACTAACATTTGATACAGTAAAAATGCCTTCCGACAAGCAAAATCACGCCGTCCTTACTTCCACTATATCCAATGGGTGTCCCATTAGCGATCCAAAAGCCATGCTCAAGATGGAAAAGTTTGGCCCCAACTTGCTTCAAGACCACCATTTGGCTGACCTTTTCGCTCACGTTCGAAGTGAGCGAATTCCAGAACGTGTGGTCTATGCCAAAGGTACTGTAAATATGGCTATTTTGAAGTTACCGATGATGTATCTGGCTTGGTGAGTGCAGAGTTTCTTAATGGAATAGGAAAAAAGACTCTTCTTTCACTCAGTTTTCAACTGTGGCTGGTCAAAGGGGTACCGACGATGCTGAGATACCCGTGGGTTCGCAACTAAGTTTTACATCAACGAAGGTGTAATACACTGGGTAAATATTAACAGTTCAATATTTTTTATCAGGAACGGTGTACAATCTCTGACCCTTAAACAAACTTCAAAGACCCAAATATTTTCTGGGACTTCTTGTGCAACAACCCTGAATCTATTCACCATGTCATGTTTATTTTCTCTGACCGTGTAACCTCCGCTTCGTATAGAAATATGGATGGCATTTCTTGTCATACATAAAAGTGAGTTAATGAAAGTGGTGCATTTCATTACTTTCAAATTCATATTCTTACTGACCAAGGAATCAAGAACCTCAATAAAGAGGAAGCGCATGCTATGCTTGCTGAAAATTTCGATCATGCTAGCCAAGACTTGTACGAAGCTATCAGAAGAGAAGAATATCCTTCGTGAACTGTTTATGTTCAAACAATGACCCCTGAGCAAGCTGGAAAGGCCCTCTTCAGTATCTTCGATATGATCAAAGTCTCGCCAAAAGCTGATTATCCGTTAAGAAGATTTGGAAAGATTGTTATGGATAGAAATCCAGAAAATTACTTTGCAGAAGTCGAACAAGCTGCATTTAGTCCTGCTAATACTGTTGCTGGGATAGAACCCTCTGCCTATACGCAAAGTTATCGTTTGGGAACCAATTTCAACCAAATACCTATTAACAGTCCACTCCAGGCCTATTGCCCCTTCCAACGAGACGGTCCGCGGGCTATTAATGGCAACTACGTGCCTGTGGCTAATTATTCTAGCTCCTTTGAACCTCTCAACTATCATGCTGATGCCACTCTTTCTGAAGCCCACGAGAAGTGGCTTGATAAAGCTTCGAGCTTTCACTGGGCTGCCACCAATGATGATTACCATCAAGCACTTGATATGTGGAAAGTATTTGGAAGAGGTGGCCAGCAAGATTCCTTTATCCACAACATTATTTCTCCTAATGTGAAAGCTGCTAGCCCCGATGTGCAAGACAGGATGTTTGAAATGTTCATTAAAGTTTAGCTTTAAATTGAGTCTCGTATCAAGCAATCTGGTTTGAAATATTCATCTAGCGGTAATTAGTTTTGCAACGCAATAGTAAGTGCCGTTTTATAAATTTAGGACTACTATTTTCTTCTAACTGCGCGATTTTGATCTGCGACATTTATGTTTAGTTCCGGGGCTAAAATACTCACAAATACTGTATACACGCGTGTGCCATACTTTTTTCTATCGACTAAATAGAGATCCAGAATTCTGAAGAACTTTCATCAATCTTGTAATTTTTAATTGATCATAGTGTACCCTTGCGGGGTAAGCTCGAATGTCATCTAATTTAGAGCCCATATTATCCTCCGTCATCGGTCATCATCATTAGCAATCTTTTGTATTTGCATGTGTCTTATTGCTTATATTTAATAAAAAAGAAATAGTAACTAGGAACGAAGTATTGGGAAGAGACGACTTCAAAACACTAGCTCAATGAATGTATTTGAAAAGACTATTTGTTATCTCAAGGACTTCACAATCAAAAAATAAGTTAGATGTTTTCCAGAAAATGCCCAAAAAATAGTCATAGAAGTAAGCCATATGTCCCGATTATTATTAAAGCGAACTAACCTTAAGTTTACAGAGGAGTTGATATACATGAGTATTTAAGTAATGAATACATTTGATTAGCTAACTCTATGTCTTCAAGTCAATTGAAAAAGAAACAACGGTCGTAAATGCGGTTAGAAATAGCAATAACAAAGGACATAATTCAGGAATAAAAAGTAAGGTTCCAGTATTACAATTCTCCAAGCCTTACCTAGGTAATATTTTTTAATTGGAGATTCAATATCATTACGGAATTATAATAAAACTGATTTTAAATTGAACAAGAAAGTTCATCTAGTTCCCAATTATTTCTCTAAAAAAGTTTGGATATTTTCCTGGCACCCTAAATGAACAATTTTCTCAAAATGATTCAGGCAAGTGTCGAATTGGAGCTCTCAAATTCCGAAAATGTATCGACATAAGTATTTCATATACGCATGTCGAAACCCCCTCAACTGTAAAGTCATTCAAGTCTAGTGTTTTTGAGACAGACTTTGGCAATTTTTCCTCGTATTCAATCGGAGCAGTCAAAGTATCAGGTTCAAGATAGTTTGACTGCCGAAATAAAATTTTTTGCTTGGTTTCATTGTAGGTAAAATGATGATATGTTGTAGTACTTAATGGTTCATCGTTTATTGGCCACAAGAGTGAAACACCCAAATTATGTTCATAAACTTGTAGAAGCTTCCTAGATATGATTTAGGTCATTCAGGATATTTTAAGCTTTCCAAGCACCATTTGCCCACTCAATGGGAACCTTGTAGAGTAAACTTTCATTATCAATCAAACACTCAATAACCCTATTGATCAGCACGCAATGGCAGTTGCCTCTGTAGTCGCGCATGAGCTCTTTCAAAAAAGGTATATGGGGCCTCGATAATTCAATCATTTTCTCTAATGACCTTGTAAACAAGTCTAATCTGGTCTCCACATCACCTCAACATATCCGTCTGGTGAGATCTTTCATTCCTTTCGAGGTGGATACACATATCTTGTTATCCAATCTGCATCTGTTGCACGGTTTCTTGCCATCACATTTGGTCTTTTTGATACGATAAGAATCGCAGGCCTTGTCTAGTCTCTTATTTTTTAGAGTAGTTTTCGTAATTTTCATAGGACAATAATGGTGAATATCCTATCATTTGTAATTAAAAGTCTCACAAAACCAACAATTCAATTCTGTGAATTTGTATGAAGCTAGGATAAAACTTTTAATGGAAAGTAACAAAAGTGGAAACTGGAATCACCTTAATTAAGAAGAAAATAGGACTTCAAGAGATTAAATAAGATCTAGTTTTTTCGTACTAGTCTCGAACAATTGAGTCCTAGATCCTTTAATATATTACTGAAGGTTCACTTACATAATCTAGGGTGTTATGTATATCAGCGACAAGGATACATTAATTGACTAACACTTACTCCACCCTTACTTAATGTTCCATTTACCATTTGCTAATAAGAAACTCCGCATCTTATAATACAAAAGTGAATTCTGCGAGAATATTGTGTATCGAAAACCGCGCGGATTTTATCTCAAGCCGCCCTTAATGGTTCACAACTTGAAATTCTTTGGAAGGGCTGTGCCCATCAAACATATTTTCTAGAAAACAATTATGCAATTAGTCTATCAGTTATATTCAAATAAAATAGAAGCTCTTGAATTATATTCCAAATTTAATTTTGAAATCGTCGACAACGTTATTGGAGTTTCAAATATACGTCTTATTTAGTTGATACGTTCAGATTCTTTGGTAGCTTTTCCAAGATTTTTGTAAAGTATTGCAATGCTAAATTTCTTAGAATGTTTTTATAATTCAGTTCTGTTTCAAAGGACGTATAAAAGACGAGCTCTTTTAAAGCAAAATAGAACCTTCTATATGTTCAGTGATATTATCATCATGCATTGTTAACTCTAAAAGTAATTTATTTATATTTGTTTCATACTTCATATTTTTCGATTGTTTAAATTTAATTTACTGGTCATCCTAATTCAACTAACTAGGTAACTAAATGACATACCAATAATTAATAAAATGATTCTGTTAACACTAAAAAGGAAAGTGCTTGCAATTTTTACATAAAATGAGACGAGTAATAAGTTGGTTAAATAAGAAAATGAATAAATTGCCGTATTGTTTTATTTCTTGCTGGCCAATAATAATGCCTATATTATTAAAAGCTTGGAACCAAATGTTTCGTAATATTTTACTTTGTGTATCAAAACACAAAGCATTCATCTACAGTACACAGAAAACCAAAATAATATTCTCAACATATATATTCAAGACAGTAAAACAATATTCCAACAAATATAACAGAGAGACCAGCTCAGAAAATAAGTTTAATTATAAAGGTCGTTGTGTTCTGCTTTTATCATATCAGCACCTTTTTCGCCAATCATATAGACAGAGTTTTGAATACGACAGTCTGGAATAACAGGGATAACAGAAGCATCAATAACTCGGAGCTTTCTAACACCATGGACTTTGAGTTTAGGGTCCACTACACCTTGTCCTATGTCCTTGGAAAGACGGTTGGTACCACATGGGTGGAAAGCAGTTTGACAACGATCCAAAACGGCTCTTCTCATTTCCTTTTCATCGTCAAGGGGCATCTCCCAAGGGTACTCGGAAAGAACAATGTCCTTAAAATCTTTGCCTTTTGTGAGAACATCATAACTGAATCTGATACCTTCACGCATAGCCAAAATGTCTAGCTCATCAGCAAAAAAATTCAAATTAATGTTCGGCTGGACAAGAGGGTCATTGCTGTTAAGTGTAACCTCACCGGGATCCGAAGCTGGACGAACTAAGTCAACAACTACACTGAGATGAGAACCTTTCTTAGGTGTAGGATAATGCCACTGAAATGCACTACCAAACATACAAACAAAATCAAGCTCAAAATGTGGTTGCCCTTCGGGACTGAAAGGATCTTTCCCACCATTAGCAGCCTTCGCTTTACGATAATTTGAATCCTTTTCCAAATATTTATCAATACGTGGGAATCCTACCATCTCTAGAAGACCAGAACCAACTGGGCCACTATGATTTTTCTTGTAAGCTGCAATAGCCGCATCGTTTTTTGGGCCTTTTCGCAATAAGACATCATCCATTCCGAACCCATCCTTAACCCGCAAGACAAATGGCACCCCTGGGTGGTCAAGCAAGTTCTGGCCAACATGCCGTGATTCTACTACGACATCAATTCCATTTCTTTCTAATTCCTTCTTGGGGCCAATACCAGAAAGCATCAATAATTTAGGGCTTTCAAAAACACCTTGCGATACAATCACTTCACGAGTAGCATAGAAGCTCTGTTCCTTACCAGAAGGCTCAATGACAATCAAGCCCTTAACAGCGTGGTCAGCATCAATGATCAATTTCTTGGAATGTACTTTAGGCAAGATAGTGATGTTGGGTTTGTCCTTCACGAAAAGGTAACTTCCAGACCGTTCACCACGATAGATGGTATCACAGCAGTGAGTAAGCCCGATCATTTCACCGTCGTAAATGTTCTCATTAAGCGATTGTCCAGTAGATTCCCAAGCCTTTTTAAGCTTATCGCGGAATGGTTGCATCTCATCAATAAGCTCAGCATGAGAAATAGGCAATGGACCACCACTACCAAGTCTTTCAAATGCTGGATCGTAAAGCTTGGGATCATCATGATAGGTGGCACTTTTTCTGAGATAAGGAAGGAGAGGATCCCATTTCCATTCTTTACCACCATATTCTTCCCACCTATCAAAGGTAGGCTTACAACCCGGAATCCAGGTGAAATAATTAAGCGACGAGCTACCTCCAAGCGCCTTACCACGAGTATTTGGTTTCTCAATACGCTCATAGTCATCACGCTTGACCATGGTAGTCTTGTACCCCCAATCGTATTCACTGTTACGAAGTTCCATAGCTTCAGATGGTGTAGTGATTTCAGGAATCTCATGGGAATTTCCTACACCTGCTTCGACAATCAAAACGGTTACTTTAGGGTTTTCAGCAAGACGACCGGCAACAACATTTCCTGCTGTACCGCCGCCAACGATAACAAAATCATAGTGTGAGTCTACCATAATATTATATTTGGTTTAAAATTTTTAAATGAAATATATATTTCAAGTGACAAAAGAATCATTTATTGAGGACAAATATAGTTCCTTATATAACGAATCACAATAGGTGAATTATATACAAAGTTACAGAACAAGTTTAGGTATTATTCATACTCCACTTCAATATTGCTGTCTCCTTTAAGGCTTTGATCTAGAACCATTTAAAATTATATCCGCCTATTTTTCATCAATTCTGCAATCCTTTGGAAGTAATTTAAACTTTCTCGATTACACATCGATAAAGTATTCTTCTCTTAGCTGCTATGTCTGCCCAAAACTTCCCCATCATTAAGGGAATATCAGAAGGTAAATGACCAATTTCTTTCTTTTACCTTGTAATTAACCAAATTGGTAAACAGTTATTACCATATTTTGATCTGTGCATATTCGCAATATTACTTTAATTCATTCCGATCCATCCGTTTGATACCCTTTGGTCAATTTCATAAGCTTTGCCAACTGTATATTCCACATGTAAAGAGGCTTATGCTAATTTTTTTCCAATATACTGTGGTTCCATGCTTTGAGGTACTTTTATGCAATGCCAAATAAAGACTCGGATAATCATGCGGCTTTATGCAGGATAGGTATATTACGAACATGGTGAGGGGTTCTATTACTTGCTAAATAGGTACTTCCACGCATACTGTGAAATCTATAAAAAGCCAGATAAGAGCTAAAACACTAGAACAAATCAAAAAGAAGCAATTAAGAATATATAATATACTTCAATATGGTGTCAGAATATCTCAAAGAAACAAAGGAAGACAAGGCAGTCTATGCAACTGCTAATGGGATACCTTATACTCAGCATCCCCTCGGAGCACAAACAGCTGGCCCGGGGGGGCCACTTTTACTTCAAGATTTGAATCTTATGGAGGACTTATCTCATTTTGTTAGAGAAAGAATTCCTGAAAGGGTTGTCCATGCCAAAGGGGGTGGTGCACATGGTTATTTTGAATTAACAGATTCTTTGTCGGACTTAACTTACGCCCTTCCATTTCAAACAGTCGGGTATAAGTGTCCTGTTACTGTTCGTTTCTCAACTGTTGCTGGAGATAAAGGTACGGCTGATACATTACGTGATTCCAGAGGTTTTGCTATAAAGTTTAGAACAGAGATTGGTGATATGGACTGGGTGATGATTGATAGTCCTGTTTTTTGGATTAGAGATCCTTTAAAATTTAGTAAAGTAAATCATTCCCAGAAAAGAGATCCTGTAACTAATCTTAACCAGTCCAGTGATTCATATCTTCACTGGGATTATTTGACATCAAATCCGGAAACTATACACCAGTTCACATATCAGTATGGAAAGAGAGGTATCCCTAAGAGTTGGGCCGAAATGCATGGTTATTCATCTCATACTTTCAAGTTAGTCAATTCTCAGGGTGATATTACGTACATACAGATGCATGTTAAATCAGTTGATGGCTTTCAAGGATTTTATGATGCTGAAGGGAAAAAAACTGAAGCGGCTAACCCTGATTATCACACAAAGGATTTGTACGAACGCATTGCAGCAGGAAAATATCCAAAGTATACTGTTTATATTCAAACGATGACACCAAAACAAGCAGAAGATTTCCGTTTTTCTATATATGATATGACTAAGATTTGGCCTTATGAAGAATTCCCATTAAGAAAGGTAGGTCAGGTGGTATTAAATAAGAATCCAGAAAATTACCATGCAGAAGTTGAGCAAGCTGCATTCTCTCCTTCTAGTTTGGTACCAGGGTTTGAACCATCTAATGATCCGGTTTTGCAAGCAAGATTGCATTTCTACAACGATACCCAACGTTACAGGCTTGGCGTTAATTACCAGCAATTGCCAGTGAACAGACCAAGAACTTTTGAAAAGCACTCAGGTTGTCCATTCTTGGCTGGAAATTTCCAAAGAGACGGAGCCGCAGCTTTTTATAACCAAGAAGGTAGGCCTAATTTTTTAAGTACAACATCACCGATCAATGCAGTTTCAAACGACCCAACAAAATATAAAGATGGTTTGCCTGAGTTTGTTGAGAAGAAATACTTAGGAGTTGTCACGGAAACAGAAGTTGACAAATATCAAATATTACATAAAGAACGTGCTAAGAGAACTCATGAAGAAAACCTCTGGCTTAAATCTTTTCATTATATTTCTGGGTTCAGTGAAATTGATCTAGAGCAACCTCGGATTTTGTATGAAAAAGTCTATAATGATAATGATAGAGCAGATTTAGTCGAAGCAGTCGTTAGCCAAGCGTCTAACATAGGTATGCCAAAGATTAAAGAAAGAGTGCCTCTGTATTGCGGATTACTAAGTAAGGACTTTGGAGGGAAAGTAGCAAAGGGATTGGGTGTAAAATATAACTTCCTTACAGTCCAAGAATATGTAAGCCTGATTGGAGAGGCACCACCAAGTTAAGACTGTTTACTTTCAGCCTACCGGTTTGTTTTTTCCTTATTATATCAATCAAATTTATGTTTATCTTAATATATATATATATATATGTAGTCAGTTACACAATGGAAGCGTAACACCTAATTGAATGTAGACTTATTTTTGGTAATGGCTTGTAGAGTTGGTTCTCTCCTTCACTTATCATGACTGAGGTTCACACAGATCTGAAAAACCAAAAATTCAACTTTGAAGAATAACATCTAAAAGGGTGTATACTAAATGGAGTATACTACATGGGGTATACTCTACATCCTCTGAATACTACATTACAAGACTTAATACATGAATTGGGGGAGTGGTTCCAGTCTGAAAATGTACAGTTAAAAGTATTGTAAAACCCACTTTTTTTCTCGCACTGTCATGGTTCCAATAGTTTTCATATATACATATACCGTCTATTATAAAATATCCCTTAATTTTTAGAGGATTTTCTCCAGATATTTATTTGTTGATATTGCAAGCAGCATTGTACAACAAGAAGATACTTACGCGCTTTTTATGACAATGAGTACTAAGTTCATTAAGAAAAGTTTGGGTATAATAGACTGCACACAGGCCATGGTAAAATTTGTCAAAAGAATGTCTCTAGCACTAGCAAGTTAAGCTCATCCTTTATCTATAGATTTTTTGGAAATACAGGTAGGTCATGGATCAAGTGTAGCTCTAAATAATTGCGAGAAAACTAGTAGAAGAGAATGTGCAAACAGTATTGTTGAAGCCCAGCAATTAATATCCGAGCGGTGGCACGAACTAATTAATCTTCCAACATCGGTTAGGGAAATAGATAATTCAGAGGTAACATTCAGTTAGAGTGTAAAGGAATCTTTTAGACGTTCATAAAAAATTTTCTTGCTTATTTAATATAGTAACGTTATATTACGTAAGTTTATGTTTATTTGTTTTGGTTTCTTTGATGCCATAGCTCCCCAAAGTCTACAAAATACAGACTGAAATTTTTGTATGGGTCTGAAGGAATGCACGTAGTTGCAAGGGATAGGAGGAATTGCTGTCTATAAATGTAGCTAGTAAAGCACTATGTATTTATTAGATATCTTTGGTCAAATTTGAGGTGTAGGGATGTTGAAGTACTTTTTGTTACGTATATTACGATTTAGTATATGCAGACATAAAATAATAATAACTCGGTTATGCGCCGCATTGCGACATTTTAAAATTAATTTCGCGGCAATAAAGATTTGAGTAATTTACCGTATACTCTTTGAAATATCAAGGTACTATATCCAGCAGGTTAAGTTATCCCATTAAAGTACTAACCACCCATTGAGTAAGTAGTTATGTTTTTCCAAATATGATAGAACTCCAATCCCAACTCAAACCTATAGTTATCTAGGCTTATTTAATTGATAGAGTGCTTTTAATAGACCATTTTGAAGTCCTTATGGAAAATAAATGGACTATGTAATAAAACGATCTAGGTCTTCCCAATCTAAAAAATACTTGTTTTATTTGATGTAACAATGCCGTCCCAACAGGAGAATATATGCATTAAGCCTCACCTCTTGCTAAAGTGCGTTTTGCATGAGAAAACAATATTTAAAATAAGCCTTATGAATAATAAGTAGTCGAATATGTAGCTCGTTGGTTATTCTGTATTATTCAGCTATTGTTTGCATTAATTACATAACAACAATTGTCTTTCTAAATATAGTTACGGCTTCCCGAAGTACGACGAGTAAGTTTTTCGAACCATTTCAAAACTTATTTCATTAATACAAAAATCAATCAAGATAATGCTTATACTTAAAAATTGTAAGTTAATAACAAGCATAATACGGACTTCACTTATAGTTCCCTTAAGGAATAGTGGCGTCGGATCCTTGGATCAAGCATATTTTTTAAAAAATAGAACTGGAAGTTCATCCGCATTATTTGTTAGTTCAGGTTTCCTCATAAGATGAAAAAATAAAATTATTAAAGGAATTAGATTCATTAAGAAAAAGTTTAAGATATCAGAAGCGATTATAAATCAATGCTTAATTTAGTGTAAGAATTTATCAAGACAAAGATACTGCTAAGATGACTTCATTGGATTGGTAATTTCGGACTTATCTTTTCTGAATTTAAGGGTAATTTGTTTGCTTTAGGTTTCCTCTAGTCCTAACAGCTCTGTAAGCTAGTTTAAAAACATCATCTCATGTATGGTGGTTACATACGAGTTTCAGAAATTTTATGCGATTTTATATTTCTTATAATCAGCATCTAAGCAATTATAGTCAAAAAAAAAGTCATTGACGTTTATAATGCGTTTAGAAGAAAAAAGTCTTCCTATTTAAAATGTGAATTAATTTATGTAGAGCAAGTTAGGTTCGCTCCCTTACTTTTAATTTGAGTACTTAAATCATGTAACACTATTAAACTACTCTAGTTTTATCTTAGAGTACCGTACTAAATGGTTTTAGTCTCCTGTTAGACAAAATTGTTATACATTCTTAAATACTTGCATATTGTTGAAAAGCAGTTGAAAACCTATAGAGTGATTGAATAGAATTTGATTTTCAAATATTAAAGAAACTAGCAAAAAATAGATATACAATATGTCACTTTAATTAATCAAATTAATCAATGTTTTAGACCAACATATCAACTTGAGGTGGAAATATCATAAACTCAAACCTATTTAAAAAGATCTTTATGTTCAGCCTTGATCATATCTGCACCCTTCTCACCAATCATGTAGACTGAGTTTTGGATACGACAGTCCGGGATTACAGGAATAATTGAAGCATCAATAACACGAAGGTTTTTAATACCGTGTACTTTAAGCTCAGAATCTACAACCCCTTGCCCGATGTCTTTTGAGAGACGGTTGGTACCACATGGGTGGAATGCTGTTTGAGAACGGTCCAAAACAGCTCTTCGCATTTCTTCGTCGTTGTCAAGAGGCATGTCCCATGGATACTCTGCCACAACAATATCTTTGAACCCATCACCTTTAGTAAGGACATCATAACTAAACCTAATGCCTTCACGCATAGCAATAATATCGAGTTCATCAGCAAAAAAATTCAAATTAATATTAGGTTGGACAAGTGGGTCACTGCTGTTGAGGGTAACTTCACCGCTGTCCGAGACAGGACGAACCAAGTCAACAACAACACTGGTATAACAGCCTTCTTTAGGAGTAGGATAGTGCCATTGGAATGCACTACCAAACATTGCAACAAAGTCAAGCTCGAAGTGTGGCTGTCCATCTGGGCAGAATGGATCTTTTCCACCATTAGCATCTTTGGCTCTGCGATATTCAGGACTGTTTTCCAAGTACTTGTCAATACGAGGGAAACCAACCATCTCAAGAAGACCAGAACCAACAGGACCAGAATGATCCTTCTTGTACGAGGCAAGCGCATCTTTGTTCTTAGAACCTTGACGCAAGAGAACGTCATCCATACCGAAACCATCCTTAACACGTAAGACGAAAGGAACACCAGGGTGATCAAGTAAATTTTGGCCGACATGAGCAGAATTTACGATAACATCTATTCCATGTCTCTTAAGCTCTTCCTTTGGACCAATACCAGAAAGCATTAATAACTTAGGGCTCTCGAAAACACCTTGAGAGACAATAACTTCACGGGTAGCATAATAACTGTGCTCTTTACCAGAAGAGTCAATGACAGTAACACCTTTTGCAGAATAATCAGCGGCATCAATGATTAATTTTTTGGAATGAACTTCAGGTAAAATAGTGATGTTGGGTCTATCCTTGACAAAAAGAAAACTACCAGATCTTTGACCTTTGTAGATTGTGTCAACACAGTGCGTAAGTCCGTTCATCTCTCCATCGTAAATATTCTCAGAAATAGGCTGCCCTGTAGATTTCCAAGCCTCGGTAAGCTTTTCACGAAAAGGAGCCAACTCAGGAAGGAGTTCAGCATGACAAATAGGAATTGGACCACCAGCACCAATCTTTTTGAGTTCTGGGGTGTAAAGCTTTGGATCATCATGATAGGTGGCGCTCTTCCTAAGGTAAGGAACAAGGGGATCCCAAGTCCATTCCTTACCCCCATATTTCTCCCACATGTCAAAAGTAGGCTTGCATCCAGGAATCCAAGTGAAGTAATTAAGGGAAGAACTACCACCAAGCGCCTTACCACGAGTATTTGGTTTCTCAATACGTTCATAATCATCGCGCTTGACCATTGTAGTCTTATAAGCCCAATCGTACTTACTGTTCCGCAATTCCATAGCATTGGAAGGAGTGGTAATTTCTGGGATTTCATGAGAATTACCAACACCGGCTTCAACAATCAAAACAGTGACGTTAGGATTTTCAGCAAGACGTCCAGCCACGGTATTACCAGCTGTACCGCCACCAACGATAACGAAGTCATAATGAGAATAAAGCATTTTTTATAATTTTAGTTTTAATAGAAAGTTTTTTATGTAAACAATTATTATCCACGAAAAAAAAAAAGACTTCGACTGTTAGAAAAGAATGGCTTCTTTTATATTTCGATAATTCCAAAATGCTACAAGAATATATGCACTATATCAAAATTATGTCATTTAATTTGGCTATTAGATAAATCACTCGGAGATGTCCTAACCACATGCTCGATATGTTCCTTTTGCCTTACATCATTGTTCTTGTATATTAAAGGTTTCAGATTATTTGAGGAGTTCGTTCTCCTTTACCAATTAAGAATTTTTAATGTCAAATCAGGATATTAGGCAAAGTTGCTTGGAAGTTCGACAATCAACTAAAAAGCTCGGAGCGGCTCATAATTTTCACTACATCATCAACAATAAAATTTCAAGCCGACATTGCCCAGTAGCAGTGATGAGCATATTTTATTTTATTTCTTACGTATTAGGCATTAAATTTCCCTTTATGATATTCTTAGTATTGTATTTCCAAATGTAACCGATAAAATAAATAACTCGGAGAGTTTTTAACCCGCATGTCAACACTTCCTTTATCGTACATTGCCTATGTATAATATAACTTATTAAAATATTTAGAAGAGTATGTTACTCTTGTATGCTAGGCTATTCCATTTGATTCCAATCAAGATGTGGTTGGAATTGTTTCTTTGAGCTATACAATTAAGAAATTAAATTGCAACGATTCAGGGTCTGCATATTCACAAATTAAATGAATCATTAAAAGGGATGAAAAGACATACCTTAATTGGGAAATGTTAAAGACTCACAGCTACCGAATTACGTATAACAATTGGCATATCTTCTTGGGAAATACTCAACGTGACATTACAAGCACAAGAAAATAAATTACTCAAGGCAAATCTAGGTCCAAATGTTCAATACCGCCAACTTTACGCTGTATTATCGTTAATGTGAATTATGCATTCAGTATGCAATCAAACTTTGAGGTGAATACTTTTACGAATTGGAAAGACCAGTTTAGGTCAAAATTTTATCATGGACACACCTTAAACTGGGAATAATTAATAAGCACAGAATACAATATTTTAACCTAAATTTGAGTAGATATCTTACTTTTATTTACGTAGACTAGATTTAATAAGCCTAGTTATAAGAAAAGCTATTCGTTGACTAGTAGCCTAAAATGATCAGGTCAAAATCTCTCAAATCTTTTAGCCGAGAGATATATTTGGCATATCGCGAGTCCGACATATAACCGAGTTATTTTCATAATTCCGCTAGGTCGAATGTTCTCTATGCAACTGCATATGCAGTCAGCTGTTGCCGAAGAGGAGTGCTATGTATATATGTATCATGAGCACTGATCAAAGGGCTTAAAGAATTCTTGCAAGCTTATTTGATTAAAAGGTTATTGGCTAAAGCGAAAGGCCGCGCGTATAGTCAGAACAAGAAAACTCAGCAACGAGGACTAATAGGTTAACTAAAAGATATATATAAGGGACTCGATAATCACTCTTTCAATTTCTTTATAATTATTGAATAACTATATTTATTGTTTAAATTATTGTATGTGTAATTGATTTGATAGGCACTTACCAACTGTGAGATTTAACTAACAATCGATATATAGTACAGAATGCCTTTGAACGAAAGAACCGCTCCTACTTACACAACATCCAACGGATGCCCAGTTAATGATCCAAATGCTATGCTCAAGATTGGCCATTTTGGTCCTAACTTGCTTCAAGATCACCACTTGATTGACCTTTTGGCTCACTTCGATCGCGAAAGAATTCCAGAACGGGTGGTGCATGCCAAAGGCACTGGTGCGTATGGTTACTTTGAAGTTACAGATGATGTCTCTGACCTAGTTAGCGCCGATTTCCTTAATGGAGTGGGAAAAAAGACTCCTCTTTTCAATCGGTTTTCAACAGTGGCTGGCGAAAGAGGTACCGCTGATGCTGAACGTGACACTCGTGGCTTTGCTACCAAGCTCTACACTAAAGAAGGTGTAATTGACTGGGTGAATATCAATAGTCCAATATTTTTTATCAGGAACGGTATCCAATTTCCATTTTTGATTCACACACAGAAGAGCAGAGACCCCCAGACAAACTTCAAAGACCCAAATATTTTCTGGGACTTCTTGTGCAACAATCCTGAATCTATTCATCAAGTTATGTTTATTTTTTCTGACAGAGGTACTCCTGCTTCGTATAGAAATATGGATGGTTTTTCATGTCATACATACAAGTGGATTAACAAGAATGGTGAATTCCATTACGTCCAGATTCATATTCTTACTGACCAAGGAATCAAGAATCTCAGCAACGAGGAGGCACATGCTATGCTTGCTGAGAATCCAGATCATGCTAGTCAGGACTTGCATGAGGCTATTGAGAAAGGCGAGTATCCTTCTTGGACTGTTTACGTTCAATCAATGACTCCTGAACAAGCTGAGAAGGCGCCATTCAGTGTCTTTGATATGACGAAGGTTTGGCCCAAAGCTGATTATCCTTTAAGGAAATTTGGAAAAATCGTTATGAACAGGAATCCGGAGAATTATTTTGCTGAGGTAGAGCAAGCTGCATTTAGTCCTGCTAATACTGTCCCAGGAATCGAACCTTCTGCCGATCCTGTTTTGCAAGCAAGATTGTTCTCTTATGGTGATACGCAACGTTATCGCTTGGGTGCCAATTTCAACCAGATTCCTGTAAACCGTCCACTTCAGGCCTATTGTCCATTCCAAAGAGACGGTCTCGGGACTATCAACGGAAACTACGGGCCTGTGGCAAACTATCCTAGTTCTTTCGAACCTCTCAACTATCGGGCAGATGCCACTCTATCTGAGGCCCACGAGAAATGGGTTGGTAAAGCTGCCAGCTTCCACTGGGCTGCCACCGATGATGACTACCATCAAGCACTTGAGATGTGGAAAGTATTTGGAAGAAGTGGCCAGCAAGATTCTTTTATCCATAATATTTCTCTCAATGTGAAAGCTGCTAGGCCGGATGTTCAGGATAGGGTGTTTGAAATGTTTAGCAAGGTTTCACCTGAAATCGGCTCTCGAATCAAGGAATCTACTTTGAAACTCTCTCCTCGCAAATAGGATTTTCTAATTTTGTAATCCATAATATAAGTATAGTTTTTACACGAGTGATTTTAGCTCAGCCACTCACATTGTAATTCTTGCAGCCGCGCGAATTGGTAAATATTCTTGAATATTGCATATAGACTGTTTTTACACAATTAGTATTACCATTTCAAGAGCAGGTAAATTATAATGAAATTCAGAAGACAGAAAACTTAGAAGTCAAAATATGTTCATTCTGAAACAGTTTATTATACTGCACTATAGCATATACTAAGATCCGGGGAGTAGAAATGCCAAAAGTACAGCTAAATACACACTTTATGGAAAGAATGGGTACTCTATTTTGCCTAAGACTTTCTATGTACATAAGTTTCAAGCTAATTTACTTGTATTAGTAGTTAGGAACAGTCCTTTTAAGGATTCCGAAGGAATGAAGTTTCAAGAAATCAACCAATTTAGACAGAGAAATAACGTATTATCGAGCTTTAACGAAATACATTTGTTTGGCTGTATAACCTAGGGTTAAGAGGTGCTTAATATATGTCGTAAAGTCAATGAAGATGTAAAATCGACATCAAGAAAATAAAACTAAACTAGCTAAGAAGATTGAGTTGAGTGCCTGACAAGTTTTCGTTAAACAAAACTTATTTATTATATTAATTCATTCCTCAAGTTAACAAAAGGTGAAGCTATTTCTGCAGTGTTTGCTTACAACAAAGAAATCCGGAAGCAATTGCGCAAAGTTGAATTTCAACCAAAAAGGATGAATCCTGAAGATGTTAAGATCGAAGCTTGCGGCTTATGTGGATCAGATATTCACACTTTGAAAGGTGATTGGGGACCATTTGCCAAAAAGGACTTGGTTTTTGGTCTTGAGATTGTTGGAAAATTTGTTCAAGTTGGCAATAATGTGAATAATGAAAAGGTAGGCCAAATTGCAGGTATTGGTTCCCAATCAAATTCGTGTCTTCGATGACGTAATACAACCTTACCTTCTCTTTTTTACTAGTTTACGAACATTTACGACATTGCACTGCGACATTGCACCCGAATGGGTGTGCACCTAAATTATGGAAAAAACGCGCAATCTCCAACTGCAGGGGATAGTCCTCACATGATCCATATCTAAGTCCAATACATTTTCAATTTCAAATATTTTTTTGCAAAATTTCCGTACGGTTTACATTTTGAGCCGCATTTCTCCCGATACCCTTCCTGCATATTTTTATTCCTCAGTTAGATTAGGAAAGAGTGTGGGACATCGTTTTTTACGTCCTGTAAGAATAAATGCGAGCATTACAGCGTTAATCCCGATATTTCCAATATTTCCAATATTTCCACTATTGCCATAGTCTCCATAGAAGACAGTATAAAGGAAGCACTAGACTCTTGATTTCAGTTACAAAATAAAGTTCACTCGGAACAAAGATGGATAAAATCGTATATCAAAAATTAGGTGCCTCGGGATTATCAATTTCCCCAATTATCGTAGGTTGTATGACTTTCGGCAGTAAGAACTACCACTCATGGGTTATTGATGACGAAGAAACAAGTATGAAAATTCTAAAGAAATGTTACGATAATGGCTTAAGAACATTTGACACAGCTGATGTGTATTCGAATGGTAAGTCTGAAATCCTTCTAGGTAAGTTTATGAGAAAATATAACATACCAAGGGAAAGAATTGTCATTCTTTCAAAAGTGTATTCTCCGATGGACTATAATGACCCAAATTTTAGTTTATTCAAGTATGGCACCGCCGAATATCCTGAAGTTAACTACGTAAACTCCAAAGGGTTATCTCGAAAACACATTCTTAATGCTGTTGAAAGTTCTGTTAAAAGATTGGGGACTTATATTGATGTGTTACAAATACACAGGTTTGACCATAGTACACCCAAAAATGAGATAATGAAAGCGTTACATGATGTGGTTCAAGCAGGACACGTAAGATATTTGGGAGCATCTTCTATGAAGGCTGTTGAATTTGCGCAATTACAGTTTATTGCTGATAAGAACGGCTGGACAAAATTTATTAGTATGCAAAACTTCTATAATCTTGTATACCGAGAAGAAGAGCGCGAAATGATTCCCTTCTGTAAAGACAATGATTTAGGAAGGGTTGGAGTAATTCCTTATTCGCCTATTGCAAGTGGCCTTCTCGCACGTCCGTTGGCATCAGAAGGAACAGAAAGGCTGACAACTGATCCAATATATGCTAAGAAAGGCTTAAGCAGACCAACTGATGCAGATAAGGAAATAGTAGCCCGAGTCCAAGAACTTGCAGAAAAATACAAAGTAAGTATGGCAGCGGTGGCTACAAGATGGGTGTTGTGTAAAGGGGCGAACCCTATAGTTGGAGTCAACTCCGTGAAAAGAGTAGATGATTTCTTAGAAGCATTAAGCTTTACATTAACTGAAGGAGAAATCGCCTTTTTAGAAGAACCTTATGTTGCTAAAGGTGAATATAATTATTAGTTTTTTAGTACTGCTATTCTCTATCTTATAACACTACTATTACAATTTTGTCGTTTTAGAGTTTAGAATCATATATAGTGTAAGAGAACACGCTCATATACATACTTGTTAATGCGTATATATGAGATTCGGGACTTATATTACCCGGAATTTTGCAATTGCCCACGATTGCAAAAGGTACAAATAGTAGAGAAGTTTCTTAAAAAATCCCGAGAAAGAGCGCAAGGAATTCGGAACTAAATATAGATTAGTTAGATCTAGTCGTTAACCCAATAGTAAAGCAAAAGTTAGTAAACTTATTTCAGTAGTCCGTATTAGAATAGATATTAGAGTTAATTAGAAGAACTAACTATTTTAGATCCAATTCCCTAACACAACTTTTGCTTAAAGGAATCTAAAGTAAAGTATTGTTAACGACTTAAATCATTTTTATAATAAATATTTTGTTTTTTTAAACATATCTCCTCCAACGTTTATAGAATTCGTGGAAATATTCTTAGTGGATTTACATTAAAATAATAGATATCCGTATAATAATTCTATACTGCATCAATGTGTCCTTTCTACTAGAGAAAAATGCCAAACTGTGCCAACCCCACGAGTTATGGTAATGTCAAGGGGCAAAAGCTTGTCATTCACGTTCCTTCTTTCACGTGATGACCCCTTGCCATAGTATTATAATTATATAATAAAAAAAAGAAGCAAGTGTAAAAATTAATGGTTAGGGATGAACAATTAGCGCCGCAGTTTCTGTCACATAATGCCATGTATGTATTTTTCAGGGGTAGATAGTAATCACCATCGATGACCCTAGCAACCATTGCATTATAATAAATCCAGAACTATGTGATAGAGTTCACAATAACAAGGAACAAAATGCTAGAATATTTTTGGATACTCACCGATCAAGGATTCGAAGTAAAAGAAGTGAGCAAAAACCCTCCCCATAGAGACTAGTGCCGAAGAGTAAGGCATCCATGGAGATATGTAATACGCCTTTTATGCCTATTCTTGTGTATACCAGCGTGCATTGATTAGTGCTGAATTCAGGGAGATGAGTAGTGATGAATTCAAAGAAAGGTATCTTGCTCCAATTGAAAATGCTATTAAAGTATCAAGTATAAAACGTCGGCCATTACTGGATGAGTATGCGTGTCCATTGGGTGATGCAATGCATGTGGAACAAGCTATCCAGCGGTACTTTAATGGAAGAATAGCTAATGATCTTTTTCACGACGTTGATGATACAGACAACTATTTTGGTAGTCCATCAATTATAGACCCCATTGGATCAACGAAGAATAGTACAACCTGATATCATTCAGATGATAAATAAATTGGATTTGGATATACAATAATTTCGGCATAGGTGATTACAAAACGGAAATTTATAAGATAACGGAAAGATTTGAAGAATTGAAGGCAGCTATAGAGAGCCATATCGAGAATTTGCTGAACCGAAGAAGATTGAGGCTGCTATCCAGTGGTAACTTTTTTCGGGATAGGGATTGGACGCCTAGAGTATTATATGAGCGACAGGAATTTTATTTCAGATCACCAAACATTCTCAGGGTTCTTTAAGTATGAAATTATTTGATGATAAGATGTCATAGACTATTATGTCATTAATGGTCCAGAAAATGTGGAGCATGGCATTACTTTGAGGTCAGCAATGGCTGGGGTTTTCTTTAAGAATGAGACTGATGCGATTGATACGAAGGGCATGTTGAAGAAAACTTCGCGGTGATCAGAAGAATTGAAGAACTGGATCCGTTTCTGAACGGTTTGCCTAAAACTCCTTATGGATCTCAGAAAAATTGTTGCACAATGGAATTTCAAGCAAGTTAGACTCGGTAAAAGAAAATGACGATAGTGATAACTTTGATGCCATTTATGGTAACACATATCGTCGAGTTATATAAGATGCTGTAGAATTTTTTCCTGATTTGAAACTCCCATCCCCTGTTTTTGTCGAATTATACTATTATTCTAGTCGGCTGTGGGAAGAGAATGATTCGATGTGTTTCCATATACCAGAAAAAAAAAAGGATTATTATGACATGTTCTTCAATGGTCTTGTACTCAACGAAAAAAAAGGTAGCTTTCGATTTGCTTCTAATTTCCCAAAACTCCCTGTTTCAGGTTACTGCCGATGCATATATTTGAATATCTAGGGAAAGAAGTGCAGGAAGATAATTGGGATAAGAAAAAAGTGCACAGAGTTATCAAATTCAGTCTTGAAGAGCTTCATTTGTTGGGGATTTCACACAATGATGTTTAGCTGGCCAACATTTATGTATATGTCTATTGTAAAGTATTCTTAATAGACTTCGGACTTTCAAATTGCACAAATAATGAAGAATATAGAAAGAGATTTTGAATGTTTTGATCGCATATTAGAAATACTTGATACTAGTGGTCTTAGTAAAAATAGTAATGCAATCATCAAAATAGTGAAGAAAATGAAGGTATGCTTCCTGATAATGCTGGCATAGATGACAAATCTGGAGTTAATGATAATTCTTCTCCTGAGGAAATTTTTGGCGAGATAAGCTTAGAAACAAATGATAAAAGAACAACAAAAGGAGATATATCACTCCGAAGGAATCCCATAGATAATAGATACCTATAAGCGAACCTGGTATTTTATCGCCGTAGTCATTATTCCAATGATTATTGCTTTAGATTTTATTCAAGAAACTATAACCATTATGGCTACTGAAACCTTTCTTCAAAGTCAATTTTCAACTAAAAAAGGAGATAAATTGAATAGTTTAGAGTGTTGAGATATCTTATATAGTTTTAAACTGGTTGTTATGTATGCCTGTTCATTTCCGTAATGCGGGTATCCCATGTTTCTTATTAGATGGGTGATGCAAACTACTGGATTTCTATAATGTTTTGTTTATTTGTTATGTATTTTGATGAAACTCTGAGACATCTGAAGGTAGTCACTTTAAAGCTAGTGTATTCCTAAAATTTCACTCGCATATACGACTTTATATATATCATATATCACATTATATGGTAATAAGGATAATTAAAGAGAAAACGCATGATATGTACCAAGGTTTATAAATTGTCCCAGAACCTGTATACTTATTTGTTGAAGGAACAGCGTAAATAATATTAGATGAGGTCTCGTTAAGTCTTCAGCTGAAGTGGCTTGAAAGCTGAGAATATTAGGTGTCAATCCGTCATGGACAAGAAAACTTTCATGCCCACTGGATGAAACTTTCTGGATTTCAGATGGCATAGCTGCTGCTGAAGTGACAGTAAATAAATCATCCGAAAGTATTCGACCAACATTATCATGAGAATCGTCACTGATAACACCGTTAGTAATTAAACTTGACTGAATAATATCAGCTCCATTATAAGTAGTGGTAGTGGTAGTAGAAACTGTTTCATTCTGCGTAGTGGTTAATAGACAATATGTAGTGTGAACTGTCTGGTCTTGAGTTTTTTTAATAACTTTAGGGGTAGTTGGAATAATAATACAAATATTATGTGAACATGATGTAATTGCCACCGATGTGGTTTCAATTGTTGGTTCTTGAAATTTAGAAGAAACATCCTGCCGACAGGTCAGAAAACTTTCCGGATGAAATATCATAATGCAAACTCGACCTTACAATGAATGTTGAGAATTCTGCGTCTGTTGGTTAGGAAGGAGGGTAATTGAATTCTGAGTAGCTGGAGACGGAAAAAATTGAAGTGGTAGATTCAAGCGTCCATCAAAAAAGGTGGGCTTGAAGAAAAGACATTCGATTGCTCGGAATCAGTTGACTGGCTAGAGCTTACAATCTTCATACTCAGATCAGGCTTCAAAGTTTCCGAGCGAATTGAGTTTGTGCCAGTTGGATCTATATTTTTGGTGCCGGAGCTAGTTGATCCTGAATTGCTTATCTGTGAGCCGTTCCCCTAGGCATACTCAGTGCCACACTGATAATGCAAGATATACTTTTTGTGTAAAAATTTGATAATCTCATGATTTGCCGAGTATCTTTAACTATCTACCATGCCATGCATGTAATTCTCTGGTGAAGACAGCTATCACCATAGATGATCCGAATAACCGATAATACTGAATTATATGTTAGATTCCGGAATAGCAATGAATAAAACACAAGTCGGATACTCATTTACTAAATGTTCGAAATGATGATACATCTATTTCAGTAGAGCCTATCCTATTATGACCCTTCTTGTGTATGTACTGCATATATTTGCGTCAAAATCTTTTCCATAGAAGAGCTGAATATTTTCAAGTAGCTATCTCTAGGAAATTTTAGAGGCCAATAGAATGTGATGAAAATTGAGCCACATTTTATTGTGATTTCATTGCTGCTTCTTTTATGTGATATGCATTGGAAATGAAGCCTTTCATGTAGAAATTGTGTGCTCTTGAAGCCATGATTTTTTTTTTACGTCCAGGACGAGCTCTATTTATTGTTATATATGGATAAATCCTCTACTTTCTGAATATTATTAGATATTGAAGTTCTACAATAAATAATCAAGAACATGAGCTTTCAAAATAACCTTAAAAATAGCGTTGAAAAGTCCAAAATCGATACTGAAACATCGAACAAACAAGGCAGTTTGGGTTATGAAAATGCTATCCTCAATACTTCATTGGACATATCTGAGAATAGAGCAGGTAATGCAGATGCTGAAGAAAGAAGAATCGTAAAACATTGGTATGATGGTTTTGTTCGTCTATTTTTATGGTATCCCTCATATTTAGATGGGGAGGAGAAGAAATTATTATTTAAGTTGGATTTTTGTATTCTCACTTATGTCTGTTGCTCTTATTTTACAAAATCATTGGACAAGTCTAACATTACTAATGCATATGTATCTGGGATGAAAAATGATATTGAATTTACCGGTGATGACTTGAGTTATGCCAAATCATTATATTCCGCTGGCTATATAGTATCTATGTGCTTTGGAATGTTATTTGTCACAAGACCCTGGGCTCGTTACATGCTCCCTACTTTGGAACTACTTTGGGGTGTTTTGACATTTTGTGGGGCTGCTGTCAGGAATTCAAGTGATATGTTTGCCTTGAGATTTTTAATTGGGTTAGCAGAAGGCCCTATATTCTGTACAGTCGTACATATTTTGGGGTCTTGGTATAAAAGAGATGAGATATATCGTAGGGTAATGGTGTTTTCAATTTCTTCTAGTTTAGGTGGTATGTTTTCTGGGTATTTACAATCCGCAGCTTATGAAACTTTAAGCGGCAAGGGTGGATTAGCAGGTTGGAAATGGGGTTTCATTATTGATGGTATTTTCACTGTACCTATTGCTTTATTTGGATTTTTTGTTTTTCCAGGGGCACCTTACCAGGTCAAAAAGGTATGGTGGCTTTCAGCCGACGAATTAAGGCTTGCTAAAGAAAGGATTCAAACTTCAGGAATTGCAACGCCCGGTGCATTGAATTTTAGCTTAGTGAAGAGAGTTTTTTTAAGGTGGCACGCACACTTTTTTACTGCCTTTTGGGTTTTCTTGAATGTTTTAGCTTTACCGGATGGCACTGCATTCCCCTTATGGTTACTGGCAAATTCTCCTGAGAGATTTTCAATTTCACAAGTCGATAATTATCCGACTATTCAATCGGCCGTTGGAATTATTGCACAATTTTTGCTTGCAGGACTTGCTGACACGTTCTCTATTTACCCTTTTTTGACAATAACCCAATGTCTATTTATAATTTCTTATTCTTCACTCGCTGCATGGAACATACCAGATGGATGGCGATGGGTATGTTTTTTGATTATCGGTTTTGATGGAGTAAATCAAGCTATAATCTCAGGTTGGGCCAACAGAAGCTGTAGACATGATAATGAAGAGAGAGCATTTGTTCTTGGGTTTTCTGATGCTGTATCTCAAGCAATAAATGTTTGGACAAACATCGTATTCTACCCTACAAGTGATGCTCCAAAGTTCAGAAAAGGATTTATAGTATCTTTAGTTGGTGCAATTGTGATGTTATTTTTGCCCATTTTAGGCTATATGGGTGATAGGTTTGACCGAAAACAACTTGAGAACTCGCTTGAGAACTCGCATGAAAGCGACGGAACGCATTCGAGAATCGAAGAATTCAAGTAAACGTAATATCTCAATAGTAAGGAAAATCAGAGAAAAAATTGACTAGTTGAGTCTCTGATACAACTGTAAAGACTGACATTTAGATATTCATGTGGTTATTAATCTCAACTACATAAAGAAAATACAAAATCTAACACGTTGACCACGTGATAGATTCTGAGTTGTAATCTCAGAGCTTAGGACCGTAAGGTTGATGATTATTGTCTACTTTGATTAGCAACTGATAACGGTCATGGAAGTTCCATTACGCCAAGATTTTGAAGGAAAAACCAAAAATCTTAATATCTAATATTAGATATAATTTAGTGGTTATAACGGTTCTATATACAGAGAAATAAATCAATAATAAGCCTTTACTCGAGAATAATGATTTAGTCAAGAATACTCTTGTATTTCGTTTATTGTTATTCGTTTTTAGAATACAATAAAGGCCTTATTCTAGTACATTGATATTCTGGGTCATCATATACAATATCATTACTCTATTCACCAGAGAAGTACATTTATTGACATTCAGAAAGTTATAGATAGAATAGCCGGGCAGATTATTCATTAGTCGGTCACCCTTCCTTTGATATTATGCATGAATATAATAGCACCATCATTTCATTGATAAATTGTTGTGGTGTGTAAAGTCATATTGAGGATGTGGCGAGCAAGATACTATTATATAACCCTAACTGATAATGCAAGCTATACTTTTTGTGTAAAAAACTGTTAATCTCATGTAGCCACGATAACTTGCCGAACATTCAGCACTGAAAATGATTAAGGGATGAGCAAAAGGGTGCCCTGTATCTAACTATCCAATCACCATGCCATGCATGTACTTTTCTGGTAAAGAGGGTAATGCTACCACCATAGATGATCCAAATAATCGATGTATAAGAGTAAATGCTGATATTCTAGAGTATGCTTTCTGATAAGGCTGGCACAGATAGCAAATACGGAAGTGAGTTATTAGTTTTTGACGCAATGAGCTTAGAATCATTAGATATAACGAAGGAAGATATTACTTCGAAGGAAACCCATATATAATAGATACCTCTTAGCGAAGCTAGTATTTTATGGTCGTTGCCATTATTCGGAAGAATATTACCCTAGCATTTATTCAAAAAACTACAGCATTTATTGCATCTACAAACTTGAAGTATTTAATTTTAATTTGCAACCAGTTTGCATTTTCTCAAATAAATCGTATGCTCACTAAATATTTTATTACTACTTTCCTCAAAGCCAATATTCAACTAATGAAGAAGATAAAATGCATATCCTAGTAGCTTAAATTATCGCAATATAAATAATTGGTTGATTATTATTTGTTTTTTTTTTACGTGTTTAAAGTTATAAATTGAATAACTGCTTTGTACTAGATAATGCAGAATTAGGAATGATCTTCATTTGTTCGCTGTCAACCTTTTAATATGGGATTGAACAGTTATCACTGGCTTACAGGGTGTAGTCAGAAAGTTCATTTTGCAACCAGTTGTATTTTCTCAAATTAATTTTACATAAGACTTATCACGAAAAAAGATTGTTAATGTTCTTGTCGAGATTTTACGTATTGAAGATCATCAATCGTAAATTTTCGAGGGCGATCATAATGAGTGTCTTGAATTTCATTATGCTCAGTTTGGACATTTCATGTACAAACTAGAAAATTATTTTTATTGTATATTGACCATTGTATTTTCCTTCATTTTTATTGACTAGAGGACATACTTCAATACTTGAGGTTGAAGAATTTTGTTGTTATTCTGCAGATATTTTTAATTTTTACTAACCACTGAAATTGTATCTATTATGGAATTTTCGTGTAAGAGATCACATATACATATACTTAATGTATATGTATAGTGTTGCAAAAGTTATACATCATGGTTGCAAAAGTTGGTGTATAAATAGAAGTGATTTTCCCCTGAGTCTGGATAGACGAAAGGAAGGAAGGAAATTAGGAACTAATTATAGGTAGTTAAGTTAGTTAGTTAGCTAAGAATAAAGTAAGTAAGTTCTATTTGGTCTATTAGAACATATATATAATATACAGAGTATAAGTATAAGTAATTACCTTATTAGTACCCAGTTTCCTTACAATTGGTAGCGTTAGAACTCTGGACACATTTCATCTTATATAGAAAGATCGGCTAGCTCTGTGTCACTAGCACAACTCGCGCAAATGCTATTTCATATAGTTCAGATCGTTTCTAAGACTGGTAGTTAAATGTAGCAAAGTCATCTGATAACTTGGAAGCAAAGAAGACTTTGGAAAATACATTGTAAGTAAGGAGTTTGAGTGATGAAGTTCTCCATGATCCTACAAGGTTGTGTGGCTACAGAAAGATATTTGATACCAATTGCAGACAGTATTGTAGACATAAATTGCTAGTTGTGAGAAAAATACTGTATATTAAATTTAAAATCTCCGGAAATTTATGAAGCACAAGTAGTTTTCGAGCATTTAGTTGCTTTGTTTTTATTTGGCGACAATTTAACTAGTTGGAGCTAATTCAAGATGTATTCAAATGAAAGGATGGGCCAATACGTCCCTTCAAATACTGATGGACAAGGTTCTGTTGTTTATGGATCCTCAGGCAATAGTGGTTTATCAATCCCATCAGATATCGGTAAATTCGATTCTAGTAACCAAGGTGATCTTTCTGGCGATAAACGAGGAGTTAGATGTTCCTTGGTGAACGATACAAGCCCATTGTTGACGCACTCTTTGAATACGAGTTACGATAATCATAGAAATTATGTTGCTCAAGAACTTGTTGAACAAGAAAGAGGTTTTTTAAAAGATCATAATAGAATTCCCAATAAAGGAAATGAAAATCAAGCTGTAAAAAAAATTGAGAAGGCAATGTCTTTTAAGAAGATAAGAGATACTGCAGCATTAATTGAATTGAAATCATTATTTGTTGCATCGGTTCCATTATCCATAACATTTCTTTTACAATGTTCACTTTCTACTGTATCTGTATTCACAGCGGGACATCTAGGGTCTGTCGAATTAGCTGGTGTTTCAATAGGATCTATGACAGCAAGTATTTCAGGCTACGCTATTATTCAAGGTATTAGTTCGGCTTTAGATACTTTGTGTCCTCAGGCTTTTGGAGCAAAAGAATATTATCTTGTTGGAACTTATTTACAAAAGTGTGTTGCAATGAATTTTACTATTATGGTACCTATATTATTTATTTGGACTTTTTTTGGGTATGAGGTAATTAGAGGTTTTCTACCTGATAATGATACTGCAAGGTATGCAGCAGTATATGTACGATATACTGCTCCAGGGATTCCTGCTTACATTATGTTTGAATGTGGTAAGAAATTTTTAGAAGCACAAGGCATTTATCATATTTCTACAATTATTTTATTGTTTGCTGCACCATCTAATTTAGTAATGAATTTACTTTTTGTGAAAACATTCGGGTATATTGGAATACCGATTGCAATATCAATTAACTATTGGTTGATGACTTTTGGATTGTTTGTTTCTATAATATATTTTATCAAACCCCATAGTACACCTTCTGGTAAGCATCCTCTAACATGTTGGAATGGACTTCATATCAAGCATTCATTCCAATCTTGGAATAAGATTGTCTGTTTGGCTGTGCCAGGACTTGTAATGTTAGAAGCAAAATTTTTTGCCCTTGAAACATTAACTTTAATAGCTTCACATTTGGGTACTCTTTCTTTGGCGGCTCAATCAGTTGGTACAGCAATTGCTTCCTTGGCTTATCAGGTTCTGATTGCAATTGGAATTGCTTCATCTACACGTATTGCTAATTTTTTAGGCGCCGGTTCAACTTCAGCAGCAAAGAAAACTACTCAAGTATCATTATGCTTTGGATTGGTCTTTTCAATTATAAATCTTTTGTTCTTATACTGCTTTCAAACCCGAATAGCACCGTTGTTTACCAAAGACGAGAAAGTTATTAAAACAGTGGAAAGTATTATGTGGTTAATAGCTTTATTGCAGGTTTTTGATGCAATCAACGCAGGTTCGGCTGGTTGTTTAAGAGGACAAGGCCAAACAAAAATAGGGGGTATTGTCACATTACTATCTTATTATTTGGTTGGTATACCTCTAGCAATCTATATAACATTTTATTCCAAATTGAAGGGTACGATAGATGGCCTTTGGATTGGAAACTGCGTAGCTCTTATTATAATAGGAGCCGTTCAAAGTTACTATGCATTATTTGCAGATTTTATAACACTATGCACAGATGCACAAAAAAGGGCGTCCAATTAGATAAAAAATGAAATAATTGCATTACGTATTTCTATGTACTACACAACATTTTGCAGGTTCATAATGTTATGGGGATCGTCATTAGATATGATCGGATTTCGTTTTACTATAATTCATCGCAAGTTAACTCCAGGCCTTATTTTCTGTGTCACCTATATGTTCATTTATCAATAATTGCTAGGATTTTGGAGAAACAATTAGGTTGTTTATAAATTTGCTTCACTGATGAGGGTTTAGAAATATGATTCTGGACCGAATTCGTATTAGGCAATAACCATATAAAGATTAAGGTTGTGCCTAATAAACAATGAACAATGGATGAACAATTAATAGTTGTTCTATCCCTAATTAACTAGCATGCCATGTATGTACTCTGGCGAAAAGAGTAATTGTATAATCATAGATGGTCCGAATAACCGATATATAAGGGTAAAGACTGAATTATATGTTAGATTCCGGAATAACAACGAACAAAGCACAAGAGTCGGATACTCATTTATTAAATATTCGAAATGATGAGAATGGTCAAAAGGGCTCTTCAGAGAATAGTATCCTGAAATGATACATCTATTTCAGTAGAGTCTATGCCTATTATACCTTTATTGTTTATATCATTGATGCATCGGTTGTGACTGGGATAAAAAAGATGAGTAGCGATGAATTCAAATTGATCCACTTGATAATGTTCCTAAAGAAACGAGCATTAGCAATGACTTTTTATCAAACAAGTATTATATCCCGTTGGGGATGCTAACGGCGTGGAAGATGATAGTTAAGACCATTTAATGAAGCAATGACAAGAACAATATATAACTTTTATAGTCACATCTATGTAGAAACTACTATTTTGGCAAGCCGTCGATTGTCGGACTATCTTTGGAAAGAAGGAGAGTTTTAAATCTACATATAGATCATATCAAAGGGATCATTTAGAAATTAGGAAGGTACAAAAATTTGTTTCGCCTTAGGCCATCACAAAAAAGAAAACTATAATTTGGCGTAAGAATTCAAAGAATTGAAAGAGACTATAAAAGATCTCAAGCGAAATTTATTACATACTAAGCGGTTGAGATCGCTGAAAAATCTGCCCTTATTTATTAGTAGAGAGTGGTCCCTAGGGCTCTGTTTGCTTTGGTTTTGAGGAGATCTATTTATAAAGTATACCTCTATGATACCGATAGGGTTCTTATATCGGATCACCATATATTCGTAATTCTTTTCAAATATGATATTGTGGGCCAGAACAGGACTGTTGATTACTATGTCATCAACGATCCTGAAACCTGCTACATGCGATATTACTTTAGGGTCCGAATTAGGTAATTTCGAGAAATATTGTCTAACGTTTACAAAAAAAAGTATTGAAGATCTAAACAATAAAGGCTTAATATGATTAATACTCCACATCGAATGGTAGAAATCAATATCTTAAGCACTCTAACAAGAATTATCTTACACGGCAACAACTCCGATTACATGCAGCTCCATGCTAGATTAGGTACATAGACATTTATTTTTGTATAATGCTCATCAACTTATTCGGCGAGCGCTCGACATTATGTGCAAGACATGACGGTTAGCGTTCTATAAACGCTTCCCTCTTATTATGTGCAACCGGAAAAGAGATTAACCTCATTAATTGTAATATAGGCTAATATTTCTCATATTTCATCGAGCAATTCCACATATAACATAACGAAATTCAACGCAAAAGGACGTTTTTATAAATATTTATAAATAACAGAAATCTCTACAATACCACGATTTTTTATATATGTGCACGCCATTACAGGGCATATAATCCAGTACAGAAGTGTGATCTATTGAAGCCTAATTATCTACATAATAGTTTTCAATTTTGGCACAAAATTTTCTCACGGCTCGAATTGTTTTCAACTAAACCTCTTCTGGTCTTAATAAAGATTCATTGTGTGATCTATCTTCTGGAGTTTTACGCGAAGAATGAGATGAAAGATTTTCACTTTGTTCAAATTCTTCTTTTTCAAACTCATCAAAGAGACCCAATTTAATTGCTTCGTCATCTTGTTCTTGCAAGGATAAGCGAGGCATAGTAGCAGCCACTCTCCACGGTGGTCTCTTATCAACATATGCCTTAGCGAAAATAATATCAATTTCTTCTAACGAACGACCAGCAGTTTCGGGGTAAAACCAAATCGTAATTGGGATCAAAATGTAATTGAAAATAGCAAAAAATAAGTAACAGCCGAATTGGCTCTCATTCATAAAAAGTGGTGTGAACATAACAACCGTGAAGTTACTCAACCAATTGGTACAAGTAGATATAGCAGAAGCAACGGTTCTAGTTCTCAATGGATTAATTTCTGGTGGATAAATCCATGGCAATGGCAAAAGAGTGAAAGCGAAGAAGGCAATAAACAAGAAGATACCAACGGCTGCACCCTTAGCCGTTTCTTGATTTTGGCCGTCATCTGGAATCAAACATGCAAAAGTAATAGTGAATGCTATAGCTTGACCAGTAGCACCAATAAGAAATAATGCTCTTCTACCTAGTCTATCAATCAAAAAAAAGGATGGAATAGTAGCTAAAGCATAAACGGTGGCAAATACTCCTCCCATGATCAAAGGCAATTTTTCAAAGTCTTCACCCATTCCCAAGTTTTCAAATAAAACGGTAGAATAGTAAATAGACGCATTGCACCCAGTGAATTGTTGAAAAAATTGGGTAGAGGCACCAATAATCATTCTTGAAAAATGTTGCAGCCTACCGCCTGAGAATAATTCTTTAAACCCAACTTGTGATCTTGAAAACCTATTAACACCATCAGTTATGACACCGCTTTCAGCAATAACAAGATCGTCTGTAATATCCACATCACTCAAAGCCGCTAAAACGTAATTTGCTTCATCTTTTTTATCATGGGCAATTAACCATCTTGGTGATTCAGGCATGTTAATAATTGCTCCAAATAAAACAATACCAAAAATTGCTTGAAAAGCCACGGGAAATCTCCATTGCACAGAAGTATCGACGTACGATAATCCAAAAACAACCCAATATGCTACGAATGTACCTATTGCGATCATCGAACCTTCTAAGTTAACCAATTTTCCTCTATTTTCTGCTCGAGAAATTTCAGATTGCCATACTGGAATTGTGGCAGTATCCATACCGTTACCTAATCCTGTGATGACTCTACCGATAATGAATTGACCTAATCCCCAATGTGGGCCAAAGGATGCAACAGAAATAACAGTGCCAAGAATAATAAGTAGGGAACCTATGATCAACATTGGTCTTCTGCCATACTTATCACCTTGAAATAATGCAAATAAGGCACCAAAAAAACATCCAATTTCGTAACATGAAACTACTCCCCCTTGGTTAACCACAGCATCATGGCTCTTACCAGCTGTTGGTGGAAATTCTTTGTTGAATTGGTCACCAGTAATAATACCTGACATTAAACCTTGATCATAACCGAAAAATGAGAATCCACTAACGGCCGTGAATGTGACGGCTACTCTGAGGGCTCTGCCTCTTAGACCCATGGTATTTGTTCCACTCCATATATTTAAGCCCATGTTCTTTTGCGAATGAAAAAACTGAAATTATATGAAAAGTATGAATAAGTGAAAAACAGAATGGAATAATATGTGCCGAATATATACTTTCGGAAAGCCAGTTGAAGCCAGCTGTTTATGTCTTCAGGACTGTTTTAACAGCCATGCGAAGAAAAAAATGTGCATTGTAACGCGAAGACGCCGCTGTAAACCTTAAAATATTATGATATAATAATCTTGAAGTTTGCCAAAATGTGCATATAGGGTAAGTAATATTTTCCAAGAAAATTGCACATTATAACGTTTGTCTTAAGTCACTCATTAAGATTTTATGTTAAATGTCTCCACATTTACCCCAACAATTAAGTTTGATTATTGGTGGCTGTGAGTCCGACAAGAAAATATACTCGAGAAGACGGCTTCAAAAAATCGAAATTGCTCGGCATTATGTCGGAAACTATTGTGACCAAGCATTTTCTTTATTCAGTCTAATTTTGAGTCTACAATCTGAGATCAGATGTATTACCTGATATTATATTTAGTGGCAACATATAAATTAAATGTAAGGTTGAATTGAGGATATATCAATGTTGTAAAATAATGTAATAATTGCAAACTGATACAGGAACTGTCTGTGTAGTAATTCGCATTAACATACTATTATTTATCAAGTGAGGTTAAAGAGGGTAACCCTATATGGTTAAGAGAACAAACACAGATCCATATCTAAGTAGACACGTGCTAGGTATATATTTTTGGGATGGATAGTAACGATATAATACAAGATGAACCAAGAGCCGATGCATAGCGATAAATGCTACACTAGGGTACAAGGAGACAAATGAACAAAATACAGTCTTTCTGGAGCTTCAGTTGGTGAAGATTCGAAAATATCGAGATAAACAAGATCCCTTTTGGCCTGTCAATTTAGAAAAATACAACTAATATCAGGACGTAAAGTAATTTCATTATTCAGTTATTAGAAATGATGCTATTTATCTTTATTTATTTAACCTTGAGAATTTATCTAATTGTTCAAAATAACCTAATTGCAAGAAGTGCAAATGCTATCACCAAGGAGAAATCATCATGCCCACCAATTTAATTAAGCTTTCTGCGTATGGGGACTCATCTATCCAGACTTAACTGTACGTAAATTCATTATCTAAAGCATTTAAATCTACATTTTTTGGTTTCAAACTCTCGACATCTGCTTTCCAAGACGAATAAATTTTTGTATAAAATTCTTCATCATACAAAACTTTTAATCCAGTCAAAGCCATACATTTAGCTGATTTTAGACAAGAATCATGGGACGATCTCTTACCTGCTGCTTCACAGAATTCAATAGTGTGAGGTTCCTTATCTGCCTTGATGCAAAAAAAAGAATGGAGAGATGGAATATCCCACGACACATTCCCTTGATCAGTTGAAGCCGAGCTTACAAAAATTCTTTCGTGAGCTAAGTCTTTCAATTTTTCGTTATCGTTGTCGCAAAAACCATTAAAAAATTCCCGAAAAGAGTCTGTTAAAGGTATATTTGAAATCATATCGTTATACTCATTTTCATAATTTATTTTATATGTACATCCTGATCCTAAAGCACCAGCTTTAATACACCCAACAAGCTTTTCTTTAAGTTCAGCCATTTTACCTCTATTGATTGCTCTAATAATACCTTTAATCCTGGTATAATCTGGAATAATATTTGCAGCAGCGCCACCATCAGTAACAACAAAATGAATTCTATCAGTTGCTTCAAATTGTTGTCTTAATAAAGAAGAAGCGTGCATAAAAATAGATGCTGCGTCTAAAGCATTAACTCCCTGCCATGGACAGGCACCAGCGTGAGCACTCTTTCCGAAATACTCTATATTAAATCTAAATGATGCTGCAGTACGTACGAAGGCCTGTCCTGGACTTTCAGAATTACCATGATGCATCAAGGAAACGTCAACGTCGTTATATGCACCTGCTTTTAACATTTTCCCTTTACCATCACCACCTTCTTCAGCTGGTGTACCGAAGAGTTTAACTGTTCCTGCAATGTTAAATATTCTCATTGCCTCAGATGAAGCGATTGCTGCAGCAATTGCACCAGTTGCTATAAGATTGTGGCCGCAAGCATGTCCCATTTCAGGCAATGCGTCGTATTCCGCATTAAATGAAATTACTTTGGAGGATGCGTTAGATTTATGCTGAAAAGTGGCGACAAACGAAGTTTCAATTCCAAAAGCAGACCTGGTAACTTCCCATCCTGGCTTCGTCTCCAAATAATCGGTTAATTGATTATGCGCCTTAAATTCCTATTTTTCAGTTAGTCATCAGCTTTTAAATGATCATTAATAATAATTTTGTGTGATGATGCTATTTAATGTTAAACATACCTCGTAATTTGTTTCTGGATTATTGTATAAAAATTCATTAATTTCTTTATAGAATTCTTGAGAATTAGAATCAATAAAGTTAGACACGAAGTCGACTAATGCGGTATTTTTTTCCATTTCGGATTCCTAAAATCTTAGATCTAAAAGTTTCTCAATTGATCAAAAATTCATCTATAGGGCGCTGTGGAGGTATTAAGTACCAAACTACAGTGAATATCGGTAAGGCTATCCGTCAGGACAAAAGTTGACTTGACTCTGCCCTTCCCCTCCAAATAAAAACTAGACATATTCTAAGGTTACCCGGGCTAAATTTCACTCAGTCTGCTCGAAACTTGATAAGCTTATCTATGATTAATAGTTTGGTGAATTGACTCGATTTCAGCAAATTTCGTAATTGGTAAGTATAAGCTTAAAAACATTATTTGTAAAAGCCAAAAGCTTCCGTATGCTACTTTTTAAGCCAATATCTAGTCGATATGAAGTATATATTGTGAGGTAGGTAGTCTGGACAATCTCATCTTGTTTGCTTTGTTGACTTTGTCGTGGGAATTTGTGAGAATTCTTTGGTGATTGAAAGTTATTCATGATATTATGTTACCAATTAGATACTTCGTATAATTAACGCAGTCAAATCATCTTGTCTGGAACCTGACTGAATCCGATTAGTCTTGCATTTACCCACATCCTTTTAGTAAATAAATACCTATAAAATCCTAAAACGAAGTATATGATTCGCACAATTGCATTGATTTAATCGAAATTTTATTGATATCAAGTGCAGTTCAAAATAAAAAACGGAGCAAGGAACTAAAGTAACACAAAACAATAATTATCACCAATTTATACCATGACAAATTAAATAAACCGCTCAATTATATATTCTATAATATAAGAATATTATGTGATTCTTTTCTACAACATATTTTATGAAATTTTAAACTGATTATTGTTCATCTTAACGATAAGGATTGGTTTACGGGTTTCACTCCTCCCAGTGTCAAGATAAATATTGAAAACATTCAGTGTCCACTTTATTTATTTAAATCTCACCCGCTACAGGCGGTTATATATTAGAAAACACTATTATCAGATGTACAAATCGTTGATAAATGTTGGTCTCGGCCTTCTTTAGTTTTAAACCCCGAAGGTATCAGTTGATATAATTCTTTTTGTGCAAAAATCAAACTTGCAATACCCCCACGTATTAATACTGTAATTCGTACCTCCGTATATATGTATGTCTTGTTTTGACAGAAGAATCATTCATCTGATGATCTTTTTTATATGAATATCAAACCGCAAGTGATAGATTCAATTATTTGTTAAAATCAATAAGTAGCAGACCATTACTTAATAAACAGGTTTAATAAAATTTCAGTAATGATATTAAAAGTAGTATAATAGACTTTTTCGGAAATTTGATAACTAACATGATATCACAAAAATTGTTTTCTCATCATAGGCTGCAGTTTTCCGTTTGTGGAATTATCGTTTCATCACGGTATATTTAGAATAAGCTTCAAATTAACAATTACAAAAGAATTGCAATACTAGGACCATGCCACAGTCCATGAGTATATATACATATATATCTAAACACTCAAATCAAAGGCATATGGTCGAGTTTGTTCTTATAAAATCTTTGCCAGAGAAGATTAAATTCCAGAAATGTCGACTATGAACTCCACATTTCGGGCTAATAATTACCCTTAACTAATATAGAACGGTAATTCTAAGATATATAATATTAAAATTCGATGGAAAAAATTACATTGATACATTGTGTTCCTTTAAAAAAATAATTTCCATTACCAATTAGGATTTCGCAACCAGAGAGCTCCCCACATCTCGGTTGGATAATCATCCAATGTGGAGTTTTGCTTATCATTAGCCAAATTAATAAGGTAAGTTCTTTTCGAGAGTATTTATAGCCATAAGAAGTTAACTATTCTTTAATTTATAGAGTGTATATTGAATGTGACGAATCGATAATGATAATAAAAATCCATAATCCATTCAAGAAAGAAGAAGACAGACCAACTCCGCAGCTGGTTTATAATTGGAGAATCTATTTTGTAGGACTAATTGCTTCATTTGCAGCCCTAGAAATCGGGTATGATTCTGGATTTATTGGTGGTACTCTTGCGCTTGACTCTTTCAGAGAAGAGTTTGGATTTGATAGAATGTCGGAAAGCCATGGCAGTTTTATTGTATCCAATATTGTATCATTGTTTCACGCTGGATGCTTTTTTGGCTCAATATTGTCTTATCCTATTACATTCTATAAAGGAAGAAAAGTAGTACTAATATCATCTTCACTTTTCATGGCATTGGGAGCAGTTTTAATGTTAATTTCTAATAAAGATAGAGGTTTAGGGCCAATATATGCGGGAAGAATATTGGCTGGTATAGGTGTAGGGCAATCAACATCAATTGTTCCAACGTTCTTATCAGAAATCTCTCCTCCTCCAATCAGGGGTAGAGTTAGTGCTATGTATGAAATAGGATGGAGAACTGGTGATCTCATAGGTTTTTGGGTTAGTTATGCGGTTGATGAAAATATGTCAAAGGGATATGCACAATGGATTCTTCCTTTTGCAATACAGATTATACCTGCCGCTTTATATTTGGCATTGGTTTGGTGCGTGAAAGAGTCTCCTCGATGGCTCTTCTCCGTTGGAAAAGATTCTGAAGCTATTGAAAACTTAAAGTTTTATAGAAAGCTAGATGATGATAATGACTACTTATTATCGGAAATATCATCCATCAAGGAACTGGTAAATGAAGCCAAGAAACTAGTAGGTACAGGTATTACAGGGCCTTTTCTTATTCTCTTGAAGAAACAAAAATTACAAAAAAGATTACTCGTGACGGCTTCTATGTATGTGTTCCAGAATTTGCTAGGTGTTCAGTCTATAAATTATTATTCACCAATAATATTTGGAAAAATTGGGGTTGATGGAACCAATGCGACCTTGTTTTCAACTGGTATGTTTGGAGTTGTTAAGTATATTGCCACCATTATTTGGTTGATGTTCATTGTAGAACAGGTCGGTAGGAGGAATACATTACTATACATTTCACCAATATGTGCTGTTTGTTTCTTCTATATTGGAGCATATCTTAAGGTTGAAGGCGGGGATGTAGCAGGTAGGGCGGCATTAGGATTAATGTATGTGTGGTGTTTCTTTTTTATAATTGGCTGGTCTGGGACGCCATATATTGTAGGTGCTGAAGTATTCGACAATTCTTTAAGGGCATCTTTTCAAGCAATAAATTCGATGTTCTTATGGCTATCTGTGTTTTTTATGACCAGGTTCACTACAGATATGATTGAAGGTATGGACTATGGTATATTCTTTTTCTTTGCATCAATGGCCCTAATATCCATACCGTGGGTTTACTTCCTTCTTCCCGAAACAAAAGGAATACCATTAGAGAATATGGAAGAGCTCTTTGACTACCCAGCACCACGAGCACATATTCTTGTTTTCAACAGCTTAAAATGTGGTGTGAATATACTTCAAGATAACGCGGATGAAAGGTCTCTAATATCGAATGGGAATCTAAAGCAGGAAATTATACATGCCGAAAAGGAAGTTTAATGCGTTATGCCTCAGTTCAAAGTTGACCAAATACTATATTTTTTCTTCTAGAATAGAGCAACATCATATAATTGGGAATAAAGTTCGATGAGTTTAATTTTAAAATATTCAAAATTATCATAATAATTCTTTTAAAAGAAAATTACAGGAATAAATAAAATATAAATGTAAAGGATTATGACTACAAGAATCTAAAGATAAACTGAAAACTATAGCTTTAAATTATTCTTAATTGAGCTGAGTGTTAAGACACAGTAATATTTCAAATATGACTTAACAGATGATCGATTCCTGTATATTGATTTTAGGCTACTCAGAATTTCGCATTCCTTCTCGTACGGTCATTAATACGAAAATAAATTTTATTTACGCCCTACAGTTCCATATTATGTATGTATCTCTTGTTCAAATTATCAAGATAAATTAAAATTATTAATATATCTGGGATCAATTATATTGATTAAGAAAATTTCGAGGTACAATAAACCAAATAAAAGATATTAGAATATCGCTTAAAATATTCTGGCAAACGATAGATATTTAGAGCATGATTTAGTTACTAATCCGTGGATTCATTATGGCGAAATAAAATAAAGCAATTGATTTAGAAAGTGAATTAGAGATATATGCATTTCAAATATTATTATTTTCAAATTCCATTCTTTATTTCGAAATCGCAAAATCTCTAGTAATTTAGCCCGTAGAAAATATTACTTATATTTTAAGATTTAATTTCCTGTAACAATAAGTAATCAATAATCGCTACTTACATACGTGTAATACTTCCGAGTCAATATTATTGTAGTAATTACCACTAAGTATCAATGATTTTAATTTATGCAAATTTTCGATGCGTAGAGTCCGCTTTGTTTCGATAACATTTAGGCTAGCCTTAAAAAGTATCTTACACCATGATAAACTCAATTCTACCAACGACTTAGGAAAAACATTCGAAGCTTCTTCGTTAAAGAAGGAACTCAAATAATTGCCGGTCAAATCTAATCTTTTTAATGATGTTGGAAGATTTATTAGACTAGATATCAAATTTCTCGATATATTAAGATTAAGCAAATTGTGGAAGAAGGGTTTACATAAGAAATTGCAATTATTTAAGTTGTTGCCAGACAATACTAGTACCTCTAAATTGAAGGATATATTAATGCTAATTGATATCCTAATCAAGTTATTATTAGATAAGTTTAGATTTCTTAAATTTGCTAGGTTGTTAATATTAAAGTTATTGGATATTGTATGAAGATTATTATTGGATAAATTAAGGTGTTGTATCAGGTCAGGAAAATATAACTTTGCCAAGTTCTCATCATTAATATTATTATACGATAAATCCAAAGTTTTCAAATTTCCACATAGACAACAATTGTGATTTCTAAAATAAATAAAGTACTCCATCAATCTAGATGAATTAAATAGATGCAATTTTAAGTTCTCAATGCTGCCATGATTCAAGTTATGAGAATTTTCCGCAAAAGAAGTTTGTTCTACTCTCGTATTTTGATTCACAGTTTTATAATGTGTTGAAAATCAATTTACAATATAATCATAATAACTAAAATGGTAAAATATTCCATTTAACAAATTAATGTCGATCAAATTATCATCATGTATGCTTAATGGAAAATTAAACTTATTTGTAAATGATTTTAACAATTTAAAATGATGACTTAACATGAAATTATTATAATTATACTAAGAACGATTTTCGCAATCCAACAAAACGAAGGAAACCTCTTTAGGCTTAATGACCATTTGCGTAGTAATCAAATATTGTAATTGGAAATTTGATAGCTGAAGGGTATCATTGATATTCGTATTGGAAATGGTCACATGCTTCCCCTTATATTTAACGAAGAAGGCCATTTGCCTAACTTTAGAATATGAATTAAATGTTCTATCATAAATTAGACCTTCAAGATCAAACTTGTATGTTAATTCATCAGGGTAAAGGTGAGACAAAGTTTCCCCCATCAACTCAGCGGGTAATCGGAATAATATGTTCATTCAGTTTTTTAATATTTAGAACTTATTAGAAAAATTGATGTGAACAAAGCTCGTATTAAATAGCTGAGTAACTATCAAGGTATAAATAGAAATTTTGCATTAAATTATGCATACCGGAATTTGAGGCTATTTTTCAGTTATGGACATTCTTTTAATATTATATGAAATATCATATTAAACGTGTTCATGAACTGGACTTATAATTTATAAAGGTGTTATAGTAAAAGTTTAGGGAACTTCCAATATTGAAGACAAGCAAGAGCCCGTCCTTAAATCTCAAATAAATATATCGTTTATTCGAGGAAAGCTAATTGATAACATAGCTAAGCCTAAAAGTTTCCCAAAACTGAGAGTTATTATGTTAATTGTTTATTATTTTCCATTTATAACTTGATTTGAAATAATCGATAGTTAATATTTTAATTAGTATTAGTTTCCTAATTATTCATTGTAATTTCTTATACTATACAAATAGTGTCTTTTTGAGTCTTTGTCTAATGAAAATGAAATAGGTAACTATAGTTTAGCTTCAAAATTTTATATTCTAAATGAAATATGGCTACTGCAGGAAGTGCCGCAGAACTCCTTTTTCAGCCTCAGATAAAAATTATTCGCATTAGAGAAGAATTGTAGACATTGGTAATACAAAAATAAACTGGTTTTTAACTCCAAGGTTGAAACCTTGTGAATCGAACAATACTTAATTCATTCTATAATCGAATGTAAGGGGCTTTATGTTTTTAGAAATAATATATGTATTTTTTAAAACTGAAATTCTTAGTATAATACTATTTTACAGAAATGTTCAAGAGCATTTTCCATTAAGAAGCTAATTAGTAAAATTTTGAAGAGGGCAAGTATCAAGGAGAACAAAAAAAAGAGAAGCACTATGATGTATCTTTCTTGTTTCTTTTACATCGGGGAGCGTTAAATAATTTAATTGGAGATTTCGGAAGTTAAAAACCGATTGACAGGTCAATATATAAGAAGCCATGCTTATCGGGCAAATCAACCAGGCAGAGAGTCAAGCTAAGTACTTTAAATCATGAGCTTATATTCTTCAATTGATGAGAAGGAGTTTTGGTTAAAATCAAAATCCTTGTTACCTTACGGTGGAGTCTTCACTCCAACCATAATTACGAAAGCAAAAGGGGTATATCTTTATACCCATGATGGAAAACGTATATTGGACTTTACATCTGGCCAAATGTCATGTTTACTTGGTCACGGTCACCCAGAAATTTCTAAAACGATTACAGAGCATGCTATTAATTTGGACCATCTCTTCAGTGGCATGATTTGTCCCCCAGTCGTAAACTTGGCACATACGTTGACAGGAATTCTACCTGACGGGTTAGATAAGGCAATGTTTCTAAGTACAGGAGGTGAAGCTAATGAAGCGGCGATCAAGCTAGCAAAAATATGTACTGGAAATTTTGAAGTTGTTGGGTTATCCTTGTCGTGGCATGGTATGACAGGTGCCTCTAATGCTACAACCTATCAATCAGGTAGATCAGGACAAGGTCCAATGATACCAGGAAACCTAGTGCTTCCAGCGCCTAATGCCTACAGATCAATTTTTCGGAAACCTGATGGATCCTACGACTGGGAAAGTGAATTGGATTACGGATGGTCCTTGATCGATACTGCTTCCGTTGGGTCTTTGGCTGCGGTCATACTTGAGCCTATTTTGAGTTCTGGTGGTATGTTAGTTTTACCCGATGGATATCTTAGAGCTATGAAAAAACATTGTGAGAAACGAGGTATGTTATTAATTGTTGATGAAGCTCAAACAGCTTTAGGGCGCTGTGGATCCATGTTTGCATTTGAAGACTCGGGTGTTATTCCAGATATATTATCATTGAGCAAAACTTTGGGTAATGGCGTACCCCTTTCAGCTATTGTCACGTCAGAACGACTTTCGGAAAGAGGGAAGAAAAAAGGGTTTTTGTTTTATACTACCCACGTCAACGATCCTCTTCCCGCGGCGGTTGGATTAAAAGTTTTGGAAGTTATTATCAGAGACAATTTAGTTGAGAAGGCACGAATTATGGGCGATTTATTTAAGTCAGAATTAGACAAATTTAAACGAGAGTATAATTTTATAGGAGACATTAGAGGGAAGGGCCTTATGGTTGGAATTGAGATAGTTAAAAACCGACAAACAAAAGAATCAGACCCCAATTTGGCAAAACTTTTGGCCGATAAAATGATGGAGCTTGGTCTATCCGCAAATCTTATAGCCGTTGCTTCTTTTGGTGGAATCTTTAGAATTGCTCCACCTATTACAATAACAGAAGGTGAGATTAGACATGGATTATCAGTTATGAATGATGCTTTCAGGGATATTCGAAATCAAATATAGTTGTGATGTAGATAGTCGTAAGTACATCATATATCGGACTTGAGAGTATAATCGACAAGTCTTAGTTATTCCTTAGCTATTTACTCTAATTCTAGAATGAAGTTAGCAAATAGTTTTCCCAAATAAAATCCTTTTCGTTTGCCTGTATAGTTTATAGAGCGATTAAATATGCTCTTTGCCATTCTGAAAAGTTTACCCATAGCACAATAACATCATTTACTTGAATAGAAAATGGGTGTTGAAAAAAGCTTTTATATGATTTCAAATACGGCTAAGCTGATTTAAGCCCTTGATCAAGATCTGCTATTAATTCATCGATCTTTTCCAAACCAACACTGATCCTCAATAAGGTAGGGCTGACAGTTGAATCAGTAAGGCCTCTCCATTCAATCAAGCTTTCTACTCCACCCAAGGAAGTAGCATGATGAAGATAACGCAATTTTGAAGGAAGTTGTTTTGCATCAGACTCAGTTTTAAGTTCAATACAAAATACTGGCGAATATCCATTCGCTAGTTGCTTTTTGACAAACGGTTCTGTCTGAAGTGACGAATGGTGTATTGTTTTCAACTTTGGATAATTTAATTTGTTGTCTACTAAATGCTTAATTATCTTCTCCGTATTTACCGCTTGTTTTAATATTCTAAGTTCATAAGTTCTTAAACTTCTAATCAACAAAAAGCTCTCCAAGTTAGATACATTCGACCCTAAATCAACTCGATCCTGGACTAATTGCTTCTTCACATTTATGTCCTGTTACCAAAATACCTGCTAATAATAAATCACTATGTCCTCCGAAGTATTTTGTAGCTGAATGAAATACCATATCAGCACCCCACTTGAATGGATCCTGCAATAGAGGAGGGGCAAATGTTGAATCAACTAATAAGTAGGCACCTCGTTCCTGTGCCTTTTTAGCATAGTACTCTATATCAAATACATCTGGATTAACAGGGGTTTCTAAACAAATTAGATCTCCAGAATTTAATTGATCCAAATCATCTTCTAAAGATATCTTTTTTAAACCTTTGAGACGAGTAAATATATTTACTATACCATGACAGCCATGATAACCCCTGCCAAGACTCATTACTTTAGGATTAAAGAACGTCATGGGAGCAAAATAAGCAGCTAAACCGGAAGTATACGCCACAGTATGCCCGTATAAAATACTATCCAAAAGCTTTTCAACCCTTTCGGAATTTGGATGGGTTTCTCTAGAATAAACTACATTTCCAATTATCGAATTTTCAGGCAAGTCTTCTTCTTTAACTAACTTATCCGGATCGTCGTCATATTTATAAGTAGTTGCTACATGAATTGGTGGCATAACATCGGACATCTTATATAGTTTGTCCGCTGCATGGATACCGTTAGTTGAAATCCCAATCATTGTTTATTTTTTATTAGAACAGGGATAGAAATAATTAGAGATAATTTCAAGTCTTGTAGAGAGATAATCTTTTTTGGGATTAGAATAAAAATCGCGCGAACACCATCAACAATAGGACTTATACTTAATATTACACTGGTCTTATATACCAATATGTCACTATAGAGGAAGTAATATGATCAATGTACCTATCGATAATCTTAAGAATGGTATTAGCTGTTTGTTAATTAAAAATTCATCTTTTTCTTGAAGATTTATTCCTCATTTATATTATTTGGCTTCAATTCATTAAGATTACCTATATATTCTCTGACGGCTATCAGTATTACTATCATAACTATTTATGGTTCTTACAATGAATTGTTTTAGAATCATTATGAATTCTGATAGTGACGCGACTATCCAATTCTTGCAAAATTTATATTCCTACAGCGAACTATACTAGAAAGCAGTTGCATGTAATAATCGTCCATAAATATTGATCAAGCATTTTCTCGTCTCAATTCATCGTATCTTAAAATGGTATTTAATAAAACTCTGAAACCGTTATCGATGTCTTCTGGTGACGAGTATTCTTCTGGGTTATGAGAAATACCATTCTTAGATGGAATGAATATCATGGAAGTTGGTACTCTGATACTAGTGGCACAAGAATCATGACCTGCGCCACTAACTATTTCTCTAACATCATCAGTAGAAAACAACTCTAAGGCACTTTTTTTAACGGTGTCAATGTTGGTCTTATCAAAAGAAACAGCATCTGAAGTGTAAATATGATCAAATTCTACTTCCACTGATTGAGAGTATTTAGAACAATTACCTTGTTCGGCAATTGATTTGAAGTCTAATTTCACGTTATCCATTAACTCGGTTAGTTTATCGTAGTTTACATGCCTAGCATCTAAAGAAAATCTGACAGTATCAGGAATGACATTAATCAGGCCCGGTTCTAAATCAATTGTACCGATTGTAGCTAGGCCATCGTGCTTTCGGGCAATTTCTATACTTTTTAAAATAAGTTTTGAAGCTATTTGCATAGCATCATTCCTAGTATTCATTGACGTAGTACCTGCATGAGATGATGTTCCTCTAACAGTGATATTATACCAAGTATACGCCTGAACTCCAGTAACAATACCAATTTTTTTATTCTCATTCTCCAAAATAGGCCCCTGTTCGATGTGAACTTCGAAATGCGCTGCTAAAGGATTGCTCTTATGCGAGGACTTAATGGGCCCATTATAGCCAATTCTCTTTAATTCATCACCAATACTAACTGGAACTTTATCCGAAATAGACTTTAGACCTAAGGCTTCTTCCTCGCTTACAACCTCTGCCCATAGCGACGAAGCGATAAGAGATCTGGGAAACCTCGCACCCTCTTCATTTGTCCAGTTAACAAGCGCAATTGGATAATTAGGAATGATGTCATTTTCTTTCAAAGTCCGAAGAACCTCCAATCCTGAAAGAACACCGTATATTACGTCATATCTACCACCATTAGGTTGCGTATCTAAGTGAGATACGATACCAGTTGGGGGACCGGGGTTTTTACCAGGATAAATTGCGAAAATATTACCGATTGTGTCAACCTTTACCTCACACCCAAGGAATTGAGTTTCCTTCACGAACCAATCTCTTACATTTTTATCTTCGTCACTTAATGCTAAACGGCAAACACCGGTTTGCGTCAACCCGGGTCCCCAAACCCCTTTAGCTCCAAATTTGGATGCAGTATCATGTATTGTATTGATAAGTCTATCTTTTTTTATAGTCAATGTCTCGTAAGTCATTTTAATGTTGAATTTTTTTTATTTTATTCATTCTATATCTTCAGCATGGGCTCCCATCTATATATAACCTCTCGTTCACGTCAAATATTTAATCTTACTGAGTCAAAATGGTTCCGGAAACCAGGAACGAGTTTCTTGAACTATATGGTTAGCGCGAGGAAGGGACCATTTTTGTTGAAAGCGGTCGAACTGCACAAGAAAATCTTAATCCATATCTTTCATGGTGTCTTAGTTTACAAAGCCTAATAATCGGCTGTAGCTTCCGATAAGAATACGCAAACATAGAATTCAGTAATCATCGGCTCCATTAGGCTAATTGGGAATATAAAGTGTCTACGTTGGCAGATGTTTTAAAGAGCCTCCTATCTCGAAAAGGTGAATAGAATCATCGAATGTGTACTCAGCAAAATATCTTTTTAGACTTAAAACCTGAATGAAGCGAAAGATGAAGTTTTGTAAATTTGGTGGAGTATAGATTATATGCAAAATGAACTTTCATCAAGAGCTTTTCTATTGGTAGTTTCACAATATATGAAGTTGAATTTCGCGTCAATAACCTAAAACGGAGAGGACTTCGATTGTTCTGCAGAGTGATAAGATGCTATCAGAAGTTAGCAATATTACGGAAAATCGAGATTGGTATATTTTGACTGACCAAAATATAAAGTGGACGATTATGTCTACTTCTGAAATCAGATTAAAATTATAGGTATACAAAGGATGTCACTTAACCAAGAGAAGAATTCTCTGGAAAAGAATTTAGATCAGTATGGATTGAATAAAGATCCAGAGAAATCTGTCTACCCAATTATATCGGTGATATCTACTATAAGAGAAGATGTGGAAAATGGTGCCATCGGTTTGGATCTATATGAACAAGCTCAAGAACTATCGGAAGACGAAATTGAATCCGAATATTCAAAAATTAGACGAAAGATAGATAGGAGGTTATTACCGATTTTATGCATCACCTATACATTGCAATTCTTGGATAAATTGTCTCTTAATTATGCCTCTGCTTATTCTTTAAAGGAAGACTTAGGATTAACTGGCCAACGGTATTCTTGGGTGGCAGCAATATTTAATTTTGGCTACCTTTTTTGGGCATTACCATCCAACTACATTATCCAGAGAGCACCGGTGGCTAAATATACCGGGGTTATGCTTTTTGTATGGGCAATAATATTAATTGCTCATATGGGGTGCCAAAATTATGGGGGAATGTTGGTTGTCAGGTTTATCTTGGGAATGTTTGAAGCCGGTATATCGCCAGCTTGCATGATGATATGTTCAATGTTTTATACTAGAGAAGAGCAGCCATTCAGGATGTGTACCTTTTTATCTTGTAACGGGATTGCAACTATCGTTGGCGCATTATTGGGCTATGGTTTGGGACATTCAACAAATGCGTCTATTAAATCTTGGAAATTGATATTTTTAGTAATAGGATTGCTCAATTTAGTATGGTCAGTAGTATTCATTTGGTTATGCCCTGATTCACCAGCAACTGCGACGTTTATTAACGAAAGGGAAAAGGCAATTGTCGTTGACAAGATTTCAAAGAATAATATGGGTATCAAAGACAAGAAATTTAGAAGATATCAAATCATCGAAGCAGTATCCGATCCGGCTGTTTGGTTGATTTCCCTTATAGGGCTTTCCTGTGGAGTTGTCAATGGTGGAGTTTCTAACTTTTCTTCGGCGTTAATTAAAGGTTATGGATTTAGTGGACTAAATGCAACAGCTTTACAATTACCAACGGGAGCAATTGAATTTGTAGTTGTGTTCATTGCTGGTATCATAGCTATAAGCGTAAAAAATACTAGATGCATAATATTTGTATTACTTTGTGTACCGGGTCTTGCAGGATTGATCGGGATTCATTTAATAGATTTAGACCATAAATGGGCATTGGTAGGATGTACTTGGCTTCAATTTATTATTGGGGGTCCAGTTATTTTATCGTGGATATTTCTAACGGGTAACATTGGTGGTCATACGAAGAAAACAATTTCGAATGGTTTTTGGTTTACACTTTATGCCGCTGGTAATATAGTTGGAGCTAACATATTTTATGCGAATGAAGCCCCCAAATATACGAGTGCTATTGTTGGTTTGGCTACATGTTATTCAGGAATGATGGTTATCGGAATTGCGTACAGATTTTTGCTTATTCATAGAAATAAGAAGAGAACAGACGAGCAAGGTGAATACAATAAAGAAATTGCTAAGCAAGCGGTTATCGATGGTTTTAATGATCTGACTGATTTTGAGAATCGAGGTTTCAGATATGCGATATAGAGTCTAGTGCCTTAAAAGTCTTAGATATATTACGATTATGACTGGTTTATTATATAGCTAGGTTCTATTTATGAATAAAATAATAAACAAGATTTATCTAACTATTACTATCATATAATTCATTATCTGCGACTATACATAGAAGAATTCTGGAATTCCTACAAGAAGTATAGCAAAAATTAGGGAGTGTCGTTAGCGAAATCATCAGTTGTTGTACGGTTCATGCAGTGAATTAGGGCATTAGAGGTTATTTCATCTAGGCCAGTTTCGAAAGAAAACTTATTTTTTGAGTTAAAAATCTCGTTGTATGCATCAACAGAACAAGGTCACCGCAAGAAGGTTTATGTTTATTTCCAAGCCTTGATGAATCACTCTTTTGTTGCCTAGCAATGTTAGCCCCCATGTCACTTAAAGTTTTCTCCATAGTGTTAACTTTATTCCCCATATAACTTACATTTTTCTCCATAGCACTGAATTTGGTTTTCATCGAGCTTGCTTTAGTTCCCATATCACCTAAATTCTTCTCCATAGTATTAACCTTTTTATTCAAAGTACCTAGCCCATTATTAATTTTATTAAACTCACTATTAGATTTTCTTTCCATATTTTCAAGCTGTCTATTAATAAGGAGAACCGCTGTCATTATTTGATTAAGGTGCTCGTTCCCTAGATCCACGCTAATCTCAGATATATTTCCTTCACCTTCAGGTGACAAGACTAGATGACTATTTAGCTTTTGTAAATTTTGTTCCATCTTTCTTCATTTGCGGCTTAGGCCAATATTTGCTTCTTCATGTTCGTACTTTACCTTATCATAAAATATCTTTTAGCCTCCATGATTCTTTCAGAATCAGTTGATGTTGCCTTTATTTTATATAAAAACATATCGCTAGCTCAACGTTTGCTTCTGTTAGCTAATCATGATATTTCAGTGGTCCGTCAATACCATGTATATATTTATTTAGATCGATGCAGATTGCACAGTTTGTCTAGTTCAATGGTATTCATTTTATAAAAGTATATTTGACATCAGAAAAACTTTTGAAACACACAAATTTTTATTGGAAGCGAATCATTCTCTAACTTGAATGGTTTCATACCTCAATCGTTAAAATATACTAACATTGCAATAGAATAGATTAAGGATAGATCATTTAAAGTGCATAGATATAGTTCAATTCAAATTAACTTTTTACTCGCAAGCCACTCAAAGATTCTATTACACGCATCTAAAATCCCTTTCATGTATATGCTCAGGGGAGGACAACATAACATTTTCGTTTCCTAAGTCGGAATGAAAAGCCATCGTATACAAAGTAGTATTAGTAGAAATAAACCTTCACAACTGTACCAAATCGTAGATAACGAATTTACACTATACGAGAGATCTTGCAGCAGAGATAGGATCAACAGTTTCTATTGGGATTCAAACCTTATATACATACAAACTAAGCAAATAATACGTGGCCTCCGGGCTCAAAGGTGTTCCATGATATTGGAATATGCAAAGCAAGAAATTTACCAATTAATCTATGATCCCAATATTTTTATGTATAATTTAAGCATATTAATTTATACATAAAAATATTGGAATCAATCGGAATTGAACCGATATTGTTCGCATGCAAAGCGAAAGATTTACCAATTAATCTATGATCCCAAGTATATATGTCGAAAATATTACTAAGCACGTAGCCCATTTCAGTCCGTTACAGCATCATTATAAGAACTACCACCGGGGTTACGGTGTGACGTCTAAAATTTGGGATTACCCATTTGGAACTGTATTAGATGTTACAGATGCAAATCAAGTTCACGCCAGATAGTTTCATTCTAAATAGTGAATAACTGGTCTATTTAAAGAAGATACAAATTGCTTATCTTAATTCAAGGCATAGGTGATTTCAGCTTTTTTCTGTTCAGACTGTAAAATTTACTTAGATTATATAATACTCTTTTATATGATAGCTCGATCAATGTAGCTTCATGCACATAACTCACACGAACAATTAGGAATTGAATTCGGCCGAAACAATTTCAGATACTATATAGATTACATCTTGTCTTCTACACATGGGGATACAATTTACAGCAGTATATAAAGGCGTTGAATAACTGCTCAGGGAGAACTGTTGCATTCAGTATAATAAGCAAGATGCAATTCTATAGCAAAGAACACGAAATAAAAGGTAAAGTGGCACTTATTACAGGAGGAGTGAAGAATCTCGGTGCTGCAACTGCGAAAGAGTTAGCTAGGTGCAGAGCTAGTTTATTTTTGCACTATCATTCATCAAAAGATAGTGACGCAGCTGAGAAGTTCAAACAGGAATTGCAAGGTACATATGCAGACATCAAAGTGGAACTCTATCAAGGTGACTTGGACAAGGCTGCAGACTTGACCAAGCTTTTTGATGCGGCCAAACAGAAGTTTCCTCAAGGAGTTGATATTGCTGTTAACAATGTCGGGATGGTATTAAAAAAGCCTATCAAAGATATCACTGAAGCTGAATTTGACCAAATGGACGGTATCAATAATAAAACTGCTTTCTTCTTTGTCAAAGAGGCTGCTAAGAACGTTAATGAGAACGGCAAAATTGTTTCTTTAGTCACGTCACTTTTAGCTGCATACACTCCATTCTACTCTGCATACCAGGGTAATAAATCAGGGGTTGAATACTATTCGAAGTCCGCTTCGAAAGAATTACAATCCAAGGGTATCTCCGTGAATTGTGTAGCTCCAGGGCCAATGGACACTCCGTTTTTGTACGGCCAGGAAACTAAGGAAGACGTTGAATTCTACAAAACATGCGGGTTACACGGCAGATTAACTAAAATTGATGATATCGTTCCTATTATTAGATTTTTAGTTACTGAAGGTAGTTGGATTACCGGTCAAACAATTTACTGTTCTGGTGGATTCACCGCTCATTAAAGTAAAAAGATATAATTTATATGGTATATATTTTATTAGGATCGTTTCGTGAATAAATATTACTTCCGCTTTCACAAATGTCGGTATCGTCACAATCCCATAGACAAATTCAAGACTTATAACTAATTCTAACTATTATTGAATATGAATTTCAAAACCTGTAACCGTAGTGTATATAACAGAATCCACTCTATATGTGATAGGAGATGTTGCAATAGAGACCTGTGGACCTCAATTACATCATGAGCAAAATTTATGCCATGTATATCATGATATGAGAAAAGTGGAATTCAGGTGAAGATTGATACCAATTACTGACTGACCAACTCCAATCTCATTTAAGGTAGGTTTTGTTTTACTGTTTCGTTCGCATCAGCAGATTTCGACTATATAGGGTAATATAGAAGAAGCGATTTGAGACGATATAAAGATTAAGCTGAATGGTTAAGACATTCGATCACCAATAGAGCTCCATTATTGTTTTCCTAGTTAATATTTATTGTTATGCAAAATTGCTTAGTAGCGAAAATAACTGATCGAACAATCACATTCATAGTTATTGGTTCCAAGAAATCTTCTGTCTAAGGTTCTCAGTTTCCTACGTATTTCAGTTAAAGAAAAAATACAAGGCTACCAGGTACTTAGTACTACTCTTATGTACTGATAATTCATCAAAACTTTAAATTAGTATGAGCTAAATTTCTTAGGGGAGTACGTCAGTTGTTAAACATGCAGAACCGGACCTATTGGAGTCAGCTAATTAGTAAAAAAATACTGCACTTAGAAAAATTCTCATACTAGGTTTGTTTCTTCCTATGTCTGCAGTACAAAATTTCATATGTAAATTTATTTCACAGGCAAAGTTAAACCATAATGAGAACGTATGCTCATATGACTACAAATGAACCGAGGAAGTCACAAATGACAAGGGAAGAACGTCGCGGGGATATAGATAAACAAATATATATAGTCCTATCTTGATAGTAAGTAATATAGTAAGAATAATTACCATACCAGTTAACACTATGTCTCGCGATCAGAAAGAAAAATTTAGTACATTTTCTAAGGAAGAACTTTCCAAACATAACCAAGAAAATGATTGCTGGGTATCTTTGAACCATCGTAAAGTATACGATATTACAGAATTCGTTTCAAACCATCCAGGAGGTGTACCACTACTTTTAAAATATGGTGGTAAAGATGTGACGCAAATTCTTGCTGGGGGACCAAAAAATAGGAGTCATGTGCATTCTAATACAGCATATGAGATTTTAGAGGATGGAATGTTCGTTGGTATATTGGTAAATGCCAGCGAACAAGAAAGACTCGACGATGGGGATGAAGATTTAGCAAGTTCGTTCAGAAATGAATTGCCAACATTCGACCTTATGACAAAGGACACCGACGCTAAGAAAGATTTCGAGAGATACCGCTTTTTAGACATTGCAGAGCCATTAATGCCCCAAATTATGAGTGCACATTGGACTAAGGATTTTTACTTGGATCAAGTTCATCGGCCACGTCACTGCTCTAAAGGTGCACGAGTTTATTCTAATCCAATTGCGGACATCCTTTGTTCAAGAGTTCCTTGGTGGGCAATTTTAATATACTCTCCTATTGGAATTGCATCATTCATCGTTGGTAAAAGATCATTAGCTGAATTAGATGCGCTGAACGATATCTACAAGTGGCTTTTAATAGGTTGTTTGTTTTGGACTTTTGCCGAGTATATTCTTCACAGATTTATCTTCCATATGGATAGATATTTACCTGATTACAATCAAACATTGTTTGCTTTGCATTTCGCAATACACGGAGTCCATCATTTCTTGCCAATGGACCCTGAAAGAATCGCAGCACCTCCACCAATGGTTTTACTTTTAAATTTCCTCTTATGGTATGTCTCATATGCGACAATGGGCCCAGCCTACGGGAATATTTTCTACGCTGGTGGTTTTGCTAGCTTCTTATGGTATGAGGAATTCCACATCTCGTTGCATACTAATCCTCAATTTTACCAATTTTGGACAGGCTGGTGGTCACATCATACTGAAATGAAGAGGTATCATTTACAACACCATTATAAGAACTACGACTGGGGTTACGGTGTGACTTCAAAACTCTGGGATTTTCCATTTGGAACCGTATTAGACTCTGCAGATGCAAGTCAAGTTCACGTCAGATAGCTTCATTCTAAATAGTTAGATCTGAGTAATTCGGTTTATGTACATTTGATAAGAATACAAAATATTAATTTATTGTAATTCGAGTGATGTAATTTCTGCTGTAAGTGATCCTAGTCTTTTATTAACCAGCAAGTAGTTTGGTCGAAGTAACTTTTGTAGACCAATTACTTAAATACTAACGTTTCTGATTGATGTAGTGAAACCTTGCATGTCAGGGACAGTGAACAACTAGTACTCAATTCGGCCGATAAGTGCGCATAATAATTCCTACACGAGGGGTCAATTTCCAGCGAAGTATATAGGCATATGAAAAGCTATTCAAGGAGAGTTGTTAAATTCAGTAGAAACAAGATGCAATTATATAGCAAAGAACACGAAATAAAAGGTAAAGTGGCACTTATTACAGGAGGAGTGAAGAATCTCGGTGCTGCAACTGCGAAAGAGTTAGCTAGGTGCAGAGCTAGTTTATTTTTGCACTATCATTCATCAAAAGATAGTGACGCAGCTGAGAAGTTCAAACAGGAATTGCAAGGTACATATGCAGACATCAAAGTGGAACTCTATCAAGGTGACTTGGACAAGGCTGCAGACTTGACCAAGCTTTTTGATGCGGCCAAACAGAAGTTTCCTCAAGGAGTTGATATTGCTGTTAACAATGTCGGGATGGTATTAAAAAAGCCTATCAAAGATATCACTGAAGCTGAATTTGACCAAATGGACGGTATCAATAATAAAACTGCTTTCTTCTTTGTCAAAGAGGCTGCTAAGAACGTTAATGAGAACGGCAAAATTGTTTCTTTAGTCACGTCACTTTTAGCTGCATACACTCCATTCTACTCTGCATACCAGGGTAATAAATCAGGGGTTGAATACTATTCGAAGTCCGCTTCGAAAGAATTACAATCCAAGGGTATCTCCGTGAATTGTGTAGCTCCAGGGCCAATGGACACTCCGTTTTTGTACGGCCAGGAAACTAAGGAAGACGTTGAATTCTACAAAACATGCGGGTTACACGGCAGATTAACTAAAATTGATGATATCGTTCCTATTATTAGATTTTTAGTTACTGAAGGTAGTTGGATTACCGGTCAATTTACTGTTCTGAAGGATTCACTGCTCATTAAAGTAAAAACATTTAATTTATATTTTATTGTTTTTTCGAACAAATATAACCGACGAATCCGATTATGCAGCAATTAATTTCGGAGTTCATTCTACGCAGTAAAAAATGTGTTGCAATCATTTCAGCGCAATAGCAATTTAAGAATTGAGACATTCCTATAAATTGACCCAATTGTCCATTTATGTAGTACATGATTCCAATACCTTACGAAAGATAGGATAAACATGCTTTCTACATCTAAAATTTCTAAAAATTTATTCCAAAAGAGGATTCTCAATGGGTTGAGCCCTTATAAGAATACCTTAGGTTATTTTCAGTCAAGCCGTCTTTACTCTAATTTACCATTAGAAATCCCAATTACTTTACCAAATGGTATTAAATATACCCAACCAACAGGATTATTTATCAATAATGAATTTGTGAGTTCTAAACAGGGTAATACGTTTGAAGTCCTTTCACCATCAACAGAAGACGTGGTTGCATCGGTATATGAATCTCGTGAGGACGATGTCGATATAGCAGTGCAACATGCTCTGAGAGCATTTGAAGAATCATCATGGACAAAAGCAGACCCTTCTCAGAGAGGTGCTGCATTGTATAAATTAGCAGATTTAATTGAAGAGAATTTTGAAACAATTGCCTCTATTGAAACTATGGATAATGGTAAAGCTATTGGCAATGCAAAAGGAGATGTTGCATTGGCAATTTCTGTCTTGAGATCGACGGCTGGTTTCTCTGATAAGATGTTAGGTTCTGTTATTGAAAGTGGTGACAGCCATTTTAATTTTACGAGACGTGAACCACTTGGTGTCTGTGGTCAAATTATTCCATGGAACTTCCCATTATTAATGTTCACTTGGAAAATAGCTCCAGCCTTGGTAGCAGGTAATTGTGTAGTTATAAAGTCATCTGAAACAACGCCATTGTCCGCATTATATGTTTGTAATTTGATTAAGGAAGCTAATTTATTTCCTCCTGGGGTTCTTAACGTCATAAGTGGATTTGGTAGATATACAGGTAATGCCATCACTGAGCATCCTCTTATCAAGAAGGTTGCATTTACGGGTTCCACTGCAACCGGTAAGACTATCATGAAAAAATGTGCAGAAAGTAATTTGAAGAAGGTCACCTTAGAGTTGGGAGGCAAATCGCCACATATAATCTTCAACGATGCTGATATGGAAACAGCATTGAAATCTGTAGTTACTGGTATCTTCTATAATTCAGGGGAAGTTTGTTGTGCGGGTTCACGTCTATATGTTCAAGAAGATATTTATGATGCATTTGTTGAAAAATTCGTTCAAATTACTAATTCTGACGTTAAGGTAGGTGATCCATTCTTACCAGATACTATTCAAGGTGCCCAAAATAGCGTTAATCAATTGGATAAGATTTTGAAATATATTCAAATTGGTACCGAAGAAGGTGCAAAAATATTGGCCGGTGGAGAAAGATTACAAGAAAAGGGATACTTCATTAAACCGACTATTTTTGGCGATGTTAATGAAGATATGAGAATCGTCCAAGAAGAAATCTTCGGTCCTGTTATAACAATTAGTAAATTCAAAACTACTGATGATGTGGTCCGTATGGCTAATAATACAGATTATGGTTTAGCTGCTGGTATTCAAACTTCAAACGCTAACAGAGCAATTGATGTTTCCCGCAGATTAAAGGCTGGTACTGTTTGGGTGAATACTTTCAATGATTTCCATCCAATGGTTCCATTTGGCGGTTATAACCAGTCTGGTATGGGAAGAGAGATGGGTGAAGAAGTATTACAAAACTATACCCAGACAAAGGCTGTTAGAATGGGTATTATTAAACCAAAAGATTAAGCATATTTTTATGAAGTTTATAATGATACTAGGAATAAATAATATCTATTTAGTTATGAGACCTTGAATTAAGCCTTTACTAAGGATGTACTACTTAATTATAATCTAATTCATTAGTTTCATTGACCAGGTCCAATGCAAGAGTAATTAAGGAACCTACTTCGAAACTAGAATTCTGATCCAAAATTTCTTAGCATCAAGAATAATTTTTCTTTCGTGGAGTCACCTCTTGAAGTTATTATATTATTCATTAGTAAGTGGTTAATCAATTTATTTTCAATTTTATTCGGGTTAACCTCAACCCAGGCAGTCTCAATTTCCTTTCCAATTGAATTTATTGAAGATGTCACTAATTTATCTATCAACTCTATGCATACATTTACATTCTCTTGCAATTTCTCTTCTGTTATAACTTGTTGTGATTCCCAATCACTTAGCGCCAAGTATTTGATGATAATTCGTTTTAAATATGTGGATAACAAATTTTCCGACTGACGGGCTTCATCTAGTTTAAAATTCAACGCCCCTACCTGCAGAGCTTTCGATATTGGATTCAGCTCCATAACACTAATCTTTTGGTCAATTTCTTCCAACTTCCCCTGTTCCGTAAGGTGTTTTCGATCTATTAACTGTAATAATCGTTTATATTCTTCAACTAACGCTTGCTTAGCCGTTATTTCATTAGAGTCAATTTCATTTTTCTTATTCAAATGTATACTTGCTTCCGTTTGTTGTTGAATAAGACTATCAATTATTGACGATGCAGAGGCTATTCCAATAACATCGCTTTTATCCGACAAATATGGCAATCTTCCGTATGTATCAGATAGCGCAATAATATCCTTTTTTAGAGAAATCAGATCTTCGTGTGACGAATTTCTGGTCTTTAAAATTAGCTTTTCAATTGAAACATTCGCCTGGTTAATAAACGAAGACGCAAGGTGGATGTCATTTTCAAGTCTTCGGATGTATGTTGTTTGAATCTTAGCAGAATCTTCTAGATTCCCCTTTTCCTCCTGAAGCGAAATTCCATTACCAGATAGTATTTCCTTCACTATATCAAGCCTTGTTCCACCCATTTATATAGTGATTGAAGTATATTATAGATGTATATTTATTACGCTTAAATTGTGTAATATTGATTAGAGAGGTATCACGAGTTATCATTTGCACCTGCTTTGTCCGTATGAAAAATTTGAAAATCGGTGAAATAATTTAAATATACTGCTATGATTATATCCTAGAATCTATTTAATAAATAAGAAATCATGTCACAAATATCCCAAACTGCTTTAGCTAGCCTCGATGAGCCATCAAGAAAAGATATCATGCAATTTATTGAGTCTGAGAATTCCAAATCCAAAGTCCAGATGTCTATTCATAATTTCACTGATATGTGTTTCAAAAAATGTAATGCCAATAAGCCAATAACTAGTGGTACATTGGATTCAAGCGAAGAGCAATGCTTAACTAATTGTTTGAATAGATTCTTGGATACTAATATTAAAGTTGTTCAAGCTTTACAAGGTGCTCAAAAATAATCAATGATAGTTTGAATGAATATTTATTTACAATTTTATATATCCTGTATCATTAGGTGTTTTATATACTTTTAACCCAGTCTTGTAAATATAAAGAATATGATTAAAGAAAATTATTCCAGTGGAAAAATTACGCCTGGATTTGCCTTGAGGATCTGGTTGAGATCAGTCTGTAAATCTTGAAATTCATTCGCCTGACACTCCTTTGATAACTGAATTAATAGTTTACAATTCAAATCACATAGACCCAGTATGTCAAAATTAGAACGTTTGACAAGATTATGTTTGAGTCGTTTCTGTAATATTGTCCAAACTGCTAAAAAGTCGTACTTATAATTAAGGATTAATTTCAAGCCCTCTCTATCGTTGAGCAGTTTAAATGATTGAAGAATGGAACTTTGCACATTTAATGCCGAATTAATACAATTTATACCTTCGATTCCTTGTTCGAAAATATCTGGATTACTCATGACTTGGTTAATTGTAAAATTTAATCTG